TATTGTGATGCCTAGAGCATTGCTTTTTTGGCTTAGAATTGCTTTGGCTATTCCAGATCTTTTATTTCTTTCAAGTGAATTTTAGGACTGTTTTTCTAGTTCTGTGAAGAATGTGATTGGTAATTTGATGGGGATTGCATTGAATTTGTATGTTACTTTTGGTAGAATGGCCCTTTTTTAAAACTATATTAATTCTTCCTATCCATGAACATGGGTGGTCTTTCTATCTTCCGGGGTCTTCTTCAATTTCTTTCTTCAGTGTTCTCTAGTTTTCATTGTAGAGATCTTTTGGTTGAATTTATTCCTAATATTTTAAAAAAGCTATTGTGAATGGTATGGGATGGTTTTCCTCATTTCTGTCTTAGCAGAATCATTGTTGGTATATTAATTTTATTTTTAATACATAAAATATTGGCAGAGTTTGAAAGCCAAAACTACATAAAAAAGATCTCTGACTCTTGACACTATGTCCTCTACCCTATCCTTACCTATTCCCTATAAGCAATCAGTTTGATTATTTTCTGGCTCATTCTTTCTTTGTTTTTTTTTTATCATTATATCATATTATTATTATTATTACCTATTATTATTTTGTTTATTATTCTCTATTTTCTATATCATTTATTATCATTTTTATAATTATATCTTGTTTCTTGTTGCAAAACTAAGCAAATATGTAAATATGTTGTTTCCCATTTTCCTTACACAGAATGCTGTGTACAACATACCTTACTATTTATCTTATTTTTTTTTTCCATTTAACAACATATCTTGGAAATCATTGTATATCATTTTCTAGAAATATGTATTCACAGCTGCTTGTATGTACTTCACATCATGTATCTATGACAGTTTTCTCAGCCCTATTCTATGGAGATCTGGATTATTTCCAATCTTTTATTCTTAATAATGCCATAATCTTTATGTATGCATTTTTCATATTTGTGGCAATACATCCTTTGGAAGATTCCTAGAAACGGGATTACTGGATTAAAAATATATAGATAAAACACACACACACATATATCACAAAGAATAAAAAGTCACTAATTAATGTCAAAAAAAATATAGAATTAAAAACTAATACAAAATAAGCCAGAAAAAGGAGAAAAAAATAACTTATAAAAATGGGACTGAGAGAAACCCGATGGTTTTAAACTCAACCAGATAAAGAACCACCTTTAATATAAATGTTCTAAATAAAATAAGGTTGTATTAAGAAGAAAAATCAAAGCAAAACCCAAGTACATGCTATCCAGAGAACATTTACTTTACAGACTACAGTTAAAATTTAAAAGATGAAAAAGAGGCATCCCATCCAAAAAAAAAAAAATACTAATCAGAAGGAAGGAGGGATGGCTATTTTGATATTAGACAAAAGAGCTCTTAGAGTAATGTATATTACTAGGATTATAGAAAGATGCTTTATAATAATGAGTAGACAAATTCATCATGAGAACATATCAATCCTAAATCTTAATACCTAGTAACAGATTCTTAAAGCTCACGAAGTCCAAACTGATAAAATTTAAGGAAGAAATAGAGGACAAAATAATGATACCAGTTCCACACAAACTATCCAAAAAAATTGAAAAGGAAAAAATACTACCCAACTCAGTCTATGAGGCCATCATTAGATCAGACCAAAAACATTACAAGAAAATAAAATTACTGACTGGTATCCCTCAGGAGCATACACAAAAATTCCTGGAAAAATTTTAGCAAACTGAGTCCAACAACATGAAACTCATATATCATGCCCAAGTGCACTTAAACCAAGAAGGCAACTTGTTGGTCTGATTCATCTGAAGATTAATCAATGAAATTCATCATATTAACAGACTAAAAAAGATGATCTAGGTGATTCTTTCCAATAGACAAACAGAAAGCATTTGACAAAATTTAACCTCCATTCATGATAAAAACTCTCAGTCTTTAAGGGAGAGAATGGAGATTTCTCAATTGGATAAAGCCATGGTAGGTTGAATAATGGCCTCCTAAAGATGTCCATGTCCTAATCTCCAGAACCTGTGAGCATTTACTTTATATAACAAAAGGTCTTTTCAGACGTGATTACGTTAAGGGTCTTGAGATAGGGAAGATTATCCCGGGTGATCCTGGTGGGCCCAGGGTAAACAGGAGTGTCCTAAGGAAAGAGGATAGTGGGATTAGGGATGAAAGTGCTGTCAGAGAGGAAAGAAGATTCTACATTTCAGACAGTGAAGAGGAGAAAGAGAGCCAGAAAAAATAAATGCAGACATAGAAATGGCCAGTAAATTGATTATTTTCTGCAGCCTCCAACACTTTGTTATGAGCTGAAGCTGATTTTGGATTTCTGACCTCCAAAACTATGAGAATTAAGGCATGTTATTTTAAGCCATCAATTTTGTGGTACTATGTTACAGCAGCCACAGAAAATCAATATAAAAGGCACCTTAAAAACCTTGTAGCTCACATCATATTAATTGACGAGTGACTATTTTCCCCTAATATCTTTCACAAGGCAGTTATTCCATTTTTTCTACTTCTATTCAACATTGTACTGGAGTCCTAGAGAGAGAAACAGGCAAAGAAGGAGGCAAAGGACATAGAATTTGGAAAAGAAGAAGTAAAAATGTTGTTATTCAAATATAGCATGATCATCCATAGAAAAAAAATTCCAAGGAATCTACAGTGAATAGTATTAAACCTAATAAGTGAATTTAACAAGTTTTTGAAATACAGAACAAATACAAAAATCAACTGTATTTTCATATACTAGCAACAAGTGATTGAGAATTGCAATTAAGAAAATAAAAACAGCATTAAAATATGAAACAAGTAAGGATATATTTGACCAAAGATTTCGCTGAGCAAAATTTTTAAAACCTAACTAAAGTGGGGGATAGACCATGTTCATGGACTTAATAATTAGGATGTCAATCTTCCTAAAATGACCCATGGTTTCAATGCAATTCCAATAAAAATCCAAGAATGATTTTGGTGAAAATAAACAAGATGGTTCTAGAATTTATACGAATCTGTAGGAGTCACTATGACTTTGAAACAGAACAAAATAGGAAGACCTAACACTAACTCATGCTACTAAGAAAATTAAAAGGAAATACACAGAATGAAAGAAGATACTTGCAAGACAAGAGATTTGAACCTAGACTATAAAAAGGACATTTGCAACTCAAAAATAAGAAGAGAAACAGCTCAATTTAAAAGATGGACAAATATTTGAATAAATACATTACCCAGTAAAATACACAGATGGCAAATAAGCAATGAAAAGATTCTCAAGATCATATTTTTTAGGAAAGTACAAATTATAACCATGGTGAGGTACTACTGCATACCACTAGAATGGTTAAAATTTAAGAATTATTGTACTATGTATTGGGGGAATGCAAAGGAGCTCATATGGGGCTGATGGAAATGTAAATTGCTACCACTTCTTTAGAAAACAGTTTGGCAGTTTCTTAAGAAGTTAAACTATACACCATACTCTTCCACCATTCTATTTTTAGGTACTTATCTGAGAGAAATAAAAACCTATGTCCACACAAGAACTTGCACAGAAATGTTCATAAAAACTTTGTGAAAGCCCCAAACTGAAAACAATCCAATCGCCCACCAGTAAGTAAGAGGATAAATAAAGTGTGGTATTTTCACAGTGGAATGCTATTCAGCACTAAAAAAGGAACAAACTATTGAAACATGATATGGCATGAAGGAACCTCAAAATAAATACTCCAGATGCAATAAGCCTGACGAAAGAGTAACATGTCAAAATAGTCTGTTTATATAAAATTTTAGAAAATACAAAGTGATCTCTAATGACAGAAAGCAGAACAGTATTTCCCTGGGCAGGGGGTGAATAGCAATGAGCTAGAGATGAGGGAAAGGGGGAGACATATCACAAAGGGTCATGAGGAAACTTTTGGGGGAGGTTATGGGAATGTTTATTATTTTTATTATGGTGATAAAATCAAAGATATACTCATTTATCCAGACTTATCAGCTTTTAGACTTTAAGTATGTACAGTTTATGCATAAATATAAAACATACTGACATATCACAAATTATGCAAAGAAGTTCAATACCTAATTTGGTAGACATTAAGTATTTACTGTGAAAAAAAAACAAGGGAGAGAATTAAACAACAGCAGATGGGGTAGAGAGGGAAGATGAGAGGGAAGGGGAGGGGGGATAGTAGGGGATAGGAAAGGTAGCAGAATACAACAGTCATTAATATGGTATTATGTAAAAATGTGGATGTGTAACTGATGTGATTCTGCAACTTGTATTTGGGGTAAAAATGGGAGTTCATAACCCACTTGAATCAAATGTATGGAAGATGATATGTCATGAGCTTTGTAATGTTTTGAACAACCAATAATTAAAAAAAAAGTATTTACTGTGGGTGTTTGCACAGAAAGTTATTGAGAAGCCTAATCTTGACTGCAATATGCATAAAGGATTGAGGGAGAAGTTGGGACTCCATTGGAAAATCGTGCTTAATAACACAGAATTTCTAATAAATGGTCTCTGTTCACATTCAGGCTATCCTGGGACTTAGAGAAAAAACATGGCTCTGTTCTATTGGGCCAACTTCAAAAAAAATCATCTATGAAAAATTATTCATCCAGACAGAAATTTGGCCCAATCCTCTAGGGAGGAGGACTCAGAGACTCCCGGAATAGCACTCCCAGGGACAAAGAGCTTGTCCTCATTTCCCAGGCATGCTCTTGTCCTAGACACAACTCTGTTATGATATGGTGACTCTTGGTGCATCCATCATGGGGTGAGACCCTCGGTGGGCTCTGAGATGTGACAGAGAGCATCTAAGCCACCCTGCCTGGATGTCAACAAGCATAGCAAAGGAGAGGTGTAGAGGCATGTTGGGGAGCCTGGACGCATCTCAGTCGATGCCTAGACCCACGGTGGCCCTGGATATGTGGTTGGGGGTTGTAGGCTCTGTCTCGATCCTCATCTGTTCTTCCTCTGTGTCCAGGTGGAGAATTACGCCTTGCTGTCCACTCTGCAGCTGATGTACACGGTGGGATACTCCCTCTCCCTTATCTCCCTCTTCCTGGCTCTCACCCTCCTTTTGTTCCTTCGGTGAGTGGAACTCCTGCAGACGGACAGATGTACAGTCAGGCATGCACCATGGGGTTTGCTCAATGGCTGCCTCTGGAAGATTAGGCTGGCTGATATCACGGTTCCTCAGAGTTGGAAGGGACCTGATATCATTTTGCAGATGAAGGAGCAGAAAGGAGTTATCGAAGTCCCAGGGAGAGGTATTGAACTGTGATTGGTCATAAAACCAGACTGACACACAGCTAGGCCGTGAATTCAGGAGTCCTTTGCATTAGATGCCATCTGTGCCCTCACCCTAGTCGAAGATCCCTGATCCCACTCATCACTACCCCATCCCCTTCTCACCACAACTTTATCAGAAGCATTATAGTTACAGACGAGATTCAGAAACTTCCCTCAAGGCAAGTGGATGGAAGAGCTGGGCTTTTAACCCAGCATCTTTGAATTCCACTTAGCTATTAATTACTTAAGTGTTTCCTCCCAGCACTTCACATGCATCAAGTACTTTAAATCTCTTCCTAATTCAAGTTAAGATTCATTCTGATCCTAGGAGGTTAGTGTTAATATTGCTCTCTATTTATAAGTGGGTTAACTGAAATATGGAGAGATTAAGTAACTTGTCCAAGCTCAGAGCTCATGGGTGATGGAGCCAGGGTCTGAGCATTTTTGCTTGTACTGTCTTTCGGAATTCAAAGCCTTGATGCATTTTACTAAATCACATTATTTGGGTATCGCCCAAGTAAGATATTTACAGACCCACTCGGGAGCCCTCAAAGGCTGTCCAGTGGTCTCAGCCCATTAAGAAACACAAGTGAATATTACACGGCAGAATGAGCGCTCAATCCCAGTGGCCAGAGACTGAATGGAACCCTGGAGATGATGTGGGTGCTAGTTCCAGGGCACCTCCCATTGGGCTCTGCTAGCCCCAGGTCTGAATCTCATCTGACTCTCTAACCCCAGAATGTTCTATGGTTCTTGGAGCAGCGTCCTGACCATCTACCCCTTCGAGAGAACAATTCTTGAGCTTTGAGAGAATTCTACAGCCTGTACCCACTGACTACCTGTGACTTCCCTCTCTACACCTTCCCGAAGTCCGTGAACCAATCCAGGATTAAATAACTATTCAGCCCTGCAGGAAGTAATGCCAGCTGAGTCTGGGTTGACCACGGATCTGTTTTGCCTCGGACTCCAGAAGGAGCAAGGCTCAGTACCTGCCCTTGAACAGCCCACTGTTTGGTTATGCAGGAGGATGCGCACATTATTAAATACAAAGACCTGCCTCAAGTCCTTTAAAATAATAATAGCTCTAAACCAAGTAGAATGGGGTATGTGCTATGCCGGAGGTGTAGTGGTGGAAAGGAGTCCCTTTGGCTAGAGACACTGAGAATACACTGTGTCACATCAGCTTATATGACAAAGAGCCAACAGGAGACTCCAGGGAGAGGAAATGAGCTGATATTTTTCTGGACACTTATGAGATGCACTTTACGTGAATTAACTGATTTAATTCTCCCCCACGCCTCTGAGATCAATGCTCTTCTTCTCAGAGGCAGTAGAGCCTTGGACAGTCATACTTTGGCCTCAGAGTTTCTAGATTTAAATCTCAGCTCTATTAATTAATGAACTTTAGACAGGCAACTTAGCCTTCCTCCTTCACTTCCACCATTTATGAAATCAGGGTAATGAGACTGCCCCCTCTTCCAGTGACGGCAAAGAGGAAGGACACTCACAAGTTAATGGCTTAGAAAATGGCCTGGCGCAGTGAACATGTTGTATAAAGATAACTATCGTTACCCTTATGGATAAAGAAAATGAGGCACAGAGAAGTAAGATCACATACCCGAGTGGTGCAGCTCTGGAGCCTTCACTATGAACCTCTGTCTTTAGTGGTAGATATGCAGGTGGGCCAGGCATGGACCTTTTGGCCCCAGCCATTCTTTCCTGAGGGTGACACTTGTTTTCCTCTTTGCACAGAAAGCTCCACTGTACACGCAACTACATCCACATGAACTTGTTTGCTTCATTCATCCTGAAAGCCCTGGCTGTGCTGGTGAAGGATGTTGTCTTCTATAACTCTTACTCCAAGAGGCCAGACAGTGAGAGTGGATGGATGTCCTATCTGTCAGAGGTAATCCCCTTCCCTCCTCCACCATCCAAATTCAGCTTCCCATCAGCTGGGTGAGACTTGGGAATCAGAGGGCAGATGGGTGGGGCTCTCTGGCTAGAGAAGCAGCCTGGGATTTAAAAACACAACAGCCTCTCAAGAGTGGGCCAGTTGAAGGGTTCCAGAAGTAGACAGGCTCACCTATGGCTACCTCGTGTCCTCAGGTGGGAAAAATTTTCATCTGTAATCAAAATCTTGATATTGGTATTTTGTATTTTCACTCTTTTTCTTCACTCGTTTTGGATTAGATCCATAATTGCAATTTTTTATAATTATTGAAAATTTATGAAAATTGAAAATCTATGGAGATCATTTTTTATCATGCTAATAAAGCAGTAACCTGTTAAACTAACCTTGCATTCCTGGAATAAACCAGATGAAGTTTTGATAGATTAAACTTCCTCCTACATTACTGGATTCAATTTGCTAAAACTGTTTTTGTTTAGCATGTCTTCACTGACATTTGTGAGAAAGACTGGATTGTCATTTTCTTTTCTTATGAGGTTTGGGTATAAAGTTTGTGTGGACCTTTTAAGTTGGTACATGTTCCCTATTTTACTATTCCCTGGAAGAATTTATTTAAGATTTATGTTATTTATTCATTAAATGTTTGATAGATTGTACCAGTGAAGCCATTTGGACCCAGAGTTTTCTGAATTAGAAGTTTTAAATTATGGCTTAATTATGAATTTTATGTTCAAATTTTCTATTCTGATGTCAATAATAGTAAATACTTTTTCTACTATCTTTCCTATTCCCATTCCCCCTCCCTTCCCTCCATTCCCCTTTGTTTAATCCAAAATACTTCTGTTTTTCCCTAACCCCCTTTATTGTGAGTTAGCATCCACAAAATCAGAGAAAGCATTCAGCCTTTGGGTTTTGGGGGATTGGCTTATTTCAATTAGCATGATATTCTCCATCCATTTACAGGCAAATGCCATAATTTCATTCTTCCTTGTGGCTGAGTAATATTCTCTTGTGCATATATAGCACATTTTCTTTATCTATTCATCTGTTGAAGGGCACCTAGGTAGGTTCCATAGTTTAGCTATTGTGAATTGAGCTGCTACAAACGTTGATATGGCAGTGTCACTATAGTATGCTGATTTTAAGTCCTTTGGGTATAAATCAAGGAGTGGAATAGCTGGTCAAATGGTGGTTCTATTCTAAGTTTTCTGAGGCATCTCCATACTGGTTTCCATAGTGGTTGCACCAATTTGCAGTCCCACCAGCAAGGTATGAGTGTGCCTTTCCCCCCACATCCTCGCCAACATTAATTGTTGCTTGTATTCTTGATTACTGTCCTATGTGCGTATATGATTACATGATCAATGTAATTCTACACCATGTACAATGAGAAGAATGAGAAGTTATATTCCATGCATGTATAATATGTCAAAATACATTTTACTATCATGTATAACTAATTAGAACAAATAAAATTCCATATGCAAAGTGCTTCTTTTCTATTAAATATGACAAAAGGATATTCATAAGCTGCTCTGTTTTCTAGTTCTATCATTTATCATAAACCATCACCTCAAAACATTTAAAAAGCCTAGGTGTTTCAAAATAAGGATACAACTTCATCCATGATAAAACTGATGCTTTATAAAAAGGCACATATAGCAAAATAAGCCAATCTCAAAAAACCAAAGGCCAAATGTTGTTTCTGATATGCTGATGCTAATTTACGATAAGGTGGGGAGAGACTAGGGAAAAATAGAGGTACTTTGGATTAGGCAGAGGAGAGTGAAGGGAGCGGAGGGGGCATGGGGGTAAGAAGGGTAGTGGAATAAATTGACATTATTCCCTCTGTGCATATATGACTACATGACCGGTGGGATTCTACATGCACAACCAGAAGAATGAGAAGTTATGCTCCATTTATGTATGATGGGTCAAAATGCATTCTACTGTCATGTATAATTAAATAGAACAAATAAAAATGTGTCTGACCAAAAAATGCACATATAGGACTGGTTATAAATAGAAAGCCTCTTCTAGATAGAGAGAGACTAGGAAAGAGACTTTTCTATTATCCCTGCTTTACCCCTGTAGTCCTAAGGAGGATAATGATCTCAGCTAGTTCTGCCTGGGGTACTATATTATTTTCTAATTGTTTACCTATACCTGATTAAAAATTTATAAATTGTTCTTTCATTAAACCTTTGTCATATTAAAAAAAAACTTTTTCTAGAGACTTCACATTCTATATTATTGCTGTCTCCCTGAGATGATCAGCAAAGGCCCAGGAGAGAGAAGAAGACTAGGGGAGAGGGTTTGTGTCCAGGGAGGCATTTCTCTGCTCACTTGGGGTTCAGATGCTGGGAAAGGCAGCACTCACCCCCAGGTGTTCTGCCCTCTGCAGATGTCCACCTCCTGCCGCTCTGTCCAGGTTTTCCTGCACTACTGCGTGGGTGCCAACCACTTATGGCTGCTGGTCGAAGGTCTTTACCTCCATGCACTGTTGGAGCCCACGGTGCTTCCTGAAAGGCGGCTGTGGCCCAGATACCTGGTGGTGGGTTGGGGTGAGTAATGTGACCTCCAGCCTCTTTTCCCGAGGACCAACTAGAACACTGGATCCCGATAGAGACATTTGTTGCAGTTAGAAAACCAACTGGAAGATGGTTTCTCAATGATAAGAGGTTATGAAAATAAGGGTGTGTGTGGACCTGTATGCTAATGAACACATTAGAAAATCTGAAAGGTCTTTGGTGGCATCATACAATTAATATTCCTCCTATGCTGTTCTCAACTGCATTACTCTGTTTCTGATGCCATAACAAAATACTTGTGTGGCTTAAACAAAAGTCGTTGATTTCTCATGGTTCTGGAGGTTGGGGAGTCCAGCATGGTCAGTATGCTGGCTTTCTGTCCCTGTGACCAAATACTTGAGAAAAACAACTGAAAGGAAGAAGGATTTATTTTGGTTCACAGTTTTAGAGACTTCAGTTCATGGTTGGCTGGCCCCATTGCTGTTGGCCTGGGATGAGACAGAACATCATGGTGGAAGGTGTGGTGGAGGAAAACTGCTTAGCTCAGGTAGCCAGGAAAAAAATGAGAGAGTGTGAAGAAGGGGTAGGGGACGAGAAATGTCTTTCCAGGGTACATCCCCAGTGACCTACCTCCTCCAACTAGACCACACCTCCTGCACTTTCTACTACCACCCTATTATGCCACCAAGTATTTAACCCACTCATGGGTTAATCCATTGATGAGGAGAGAGCCTTCATGATCCACTCACTCCCCCAGAGCCACACCTCTGAACAGTGCTGCCCTGGGGAATCAAAGCTTCAGTACAGGAGCCTTTGAGGAATAGGCCAGATCTCACCCATAGCAGTTGGGTTCTGGTGAGGGCTCTCTTTCTGAGTTGCAGACTGCTGCCTCCTGATGTATCCTCACATGGTAGAGAGAGAGAGAGAGAGAGAGAGAGAGAGATCAAACTCTATAGTCTCTTTATAAGGACACTAATTTTCTATGAGGACCCCACCCTTACAACCTCATTTAAATCTATTGACCTCCAAAGACCCTACCTCCAAATATGGTCATATTGACAGGAAGGATTCAACATATGAATTTTGGAAGGACACAAACATTCAGTCTATGCATTTTGTGTTTTTGTTTTAATTTTAAAAATATGACCTAGAGGGCTGGGGTTGTGGCTCAGTGGTAGAGCGCTTGCCTAGCATGCGTGAGGCACCGGGTTCAATCCTTGCACCACACAAAAATAAACAAATAAAATAAAGGTATTGTGTCCATCTACAACTAAAATATATGTATATGCATATACATATATGTGTGTATATGTACATATACATATATGTATATATATATTTTTTAATTTCAATGACCAAGAGTATTCAGATGTGGAACCCATACTTTCACAAAACCTTGGAGAATTTGATGCTGCAGGATTCATAGGAAGTAACCTGGACTCACGACTCAGGAGATTTTGATTAATGTCCTTGGGTTTATTCTAAACTGTTTTGTGACTGGTGGCAAATCCCTTCTCCTCTGGGTTCTGGTTTCTTGTTATAAATTAATGCATGGGCCTGTGCCACTCCAATTTTCCCTGTCCATGATTCCAGGTAGGGTTTTTGAGTTTTAACCAGCTGTTCTGGGGCCCATCAGGCTGGGGTGGGAGCCAAGCAGGTCCGGCCAACCGGCTTCTAACCCTGTTTCTCTGTGTTTTCTCCACAGCCTTCCCTGTGCTGTTTGTGGTGCCCTGGGGTTTTGCCCGTGCACACCTGGAGAACACGGGGTAGGAAATTTACTTTGGTTTTAATCTTTCCTGAATTAATAATTCCCAGATATGCCCCAATATAGGGAATTACATCATTTTTCCCAAAGACAATATCCAACTCTTCCCAATTTGTCCATGTAGAACATACAGAGGAATGTAGATAACGTAAATCAAAGGTCTTGTAGTCATTAGTTCATTCATTTAGTTACACAGGCAAATTACCACAAAGATGCTGGGCAGGTTAGCTGTGACGCTGGGTACTTAAAGACATAGCCCAGCAATAGGTTTTACGGCCTCATTCCCAGAAAGAAAGAAAAAGCAGAAACAACAAAAATTCACGAATGCCTATTAGAATGAGAATCATTGAACAAATTGTAGCAAACTTACTTTGTGGAATATTATGACAACACACAAACAATATTATGACATACAACACACAAAACAAATTAAGTATTATCTTTTGACTTTTAGGGAATAAATCTCAATGGATATTTTAAACCTCTTGCTGAACAACATTTATGATGTGATTCCATTTTTTTCCTCCAAATAATCACCACCCAAACCACACACATATCTATACATATGTATTTATATTTGAATACATGTCTATATACACCATATATCATCCCATATACATATATGTGCCATATATATGCCCCATAACTGAATAACACCTTCTATATATTTCACATATATATTTTTCATATGTATGTGCCTATATATATATATATATATATATATATATATATATATATATACATACACACACACACACACACAAACTGTTTAGTGAAGTAGTAAGAAACCTCTAATTAAGGATTTATGTCTGTATGAACATGGAGAAACGTGGAAGAACCCATGTGCTGGGCTTTTAACATGGAAGAGCAATTTCATGATAAGAACCATCAACAGTACCAGTGCTAATACAAAGGATTTTGATCCTCTTCTCCCCTTGTCCCATCTCTTGGGACAATGCTTGAAGGGGCGCCTCCTCTGGACATACAGCCTTGTCTCATATTCGTCTTTTCCTGCCTGTTCTTTGCCCTTAGATGCTGGGCAACAAATGGAAATAAGAAAATCTGGTGGATCATCCGAGGACCCATGATGCTTTGTGTAATGGTAAGGAAGAGTCTACCCCCACTTCTTCCCCCTGTGAGCTCAGCGGCTGTGGGGAACACCCCCATTCCTACATCCCCCCAGTTCTCAGGCCCTTTAAGAAGGAGCCGCTGAGCTGTGAGCAGTTTCTGATGAGCGAGAAGTTAGAGACTTCCACTTGTTCTGGTTCAGACGTTGACTCCGATTTCCCTGTGAGTCTTCTCTGTGTTTTCAGTTATGTAAAGAGATCTCAGTCAGCTCCAGGATCCTGTCCTCAAGGGCTGTGACATGGACATCAGCAGGAAGGAGCCCAGTGACAGCCTGGCTATATCTTAACACCATGAGCAGGAGGGAGAGAGGAAGAGACCAAAGAAACTACTTCTAGAGGAAAAAAAAAACATACGAAAGCTATCCACACCAATCTCTCATGGGTAGTAGAATCAGGAAATAGATGATGCTCTGAGACCTCGAGGCCAAAAGGCCTTGATTTGTTGTGGTCCAAAATATTTTGCTTGGGAAGAGGTGACTGACCTGGAGTCACAAAGCCCTTTAGGTGACAGTGTGCAAAAATGAAATCTGTCAATGAAGCTTGAGGGAAAGGGCAGGGAGTCAGCCAACTGTAGGAAGACTGGCAAGATCTATGAGGGCCACAGAAGGTCTGCACCCTAGACATATCACCATCACCTCTGGGTGCCTGTGGGGTGCGGGGTGCTGTATTCTGTGCTCTACTGACTCTCCACGTCATTGCTGGATTGTCCTTTTTTTCCCCATTTTATTTTAATTAAGTGGCGTCATGAAAGAAAAAAAGCTATTTTCTATTTTTTTAAATATTTATTTTTTAGTTATAGGTGGACCCCATGTCTTTATTTTACTTTATGTGGTGCTGAGGATCGAATCCAGTGCCTCATGCATGCCAGGCATGTGCTCTACCTCTGAGCCACAACCCCAGCACCCCCCCCCCAAAAAAAAAGCTAATTTTTAAATAGAAGAATATCAACATTTGTCAATAATGGATGGCAGTTCTCTGCTCAGACCTGGGTGTGACCTGGAAAGGATAATGTTCCTAGAAATGGCAGGAAAACCAAAGGTATGGAGAAGACCCAGATTGTAAGGGGCTGTGTCACGTTTTGCCTATGAGGTGGCACACGTGCTTCTGGTATCTTCTCTCCAGCAAATATCCATGAAAGAAGTTTATTGAGTGTCTGTCATGTACTTAGGCTAGCTTCTAGAAAGAACAGGACATTTGGCTCACAGTGGCAGCCAACGAGTTCTAAACAAGAACTTGAAATTTGCTGGGGCTGATGCAGAAGCCTGAATGGGATCCAGGAAGTATACTAAGGGGGGTGTTTACCTGAGTGTCCAGTACAGCTGCCCAGAGATGTTAATACTTGGCTCAAGATAAGCAATGGGTCACCAATGAAGAAAATGGTGGAGGGAGGGAATTAGAACCTAGGGGAGTTTGAGCCAAGGTAGTGATTCTGAAAGAGTCTCCAAAAGTGAAGACCCCAGGGTCCAGCTCTAGAGGCGATACACATTTTTTTGAGCAGTAGTACAGTGTTGTGGTAACAGGTGCCGGTAGTCACCCAGTCTGACCCTTTGGGCTGAACTTCTCATCTTTCCAGTGTCCTCACCAGTACAATAAATATAATAGCACCCACCTCGTAGGCAGTTGGGAAGACTGATTTAATTCAATTCAAATACACGAAGTCCTTAGAACGGATGCTGGTACTTAGAAGGCACTTGATAAATGTTACTGGGAAGTGGTGAAAGTACCTAGGAAAGTGGTAGGTGCTGGGACTCCAACTTCACAGTGTGATTGGAGAAGAAAGGATTATGGAGAAGTGGGGCAAGGGGCAGAGGAGGCAGGGCTCACAGTGCCATGAGCAGATTGTGTGGTTGACTTCCTTTGGAACATTTGCTCTTGGCCATGTGTCCAGTAACTGAAGAGGAGAATAAAGGAGGAGATAAGCCAGCAGTCCTCACTATGATGGAATTCAGGCTCCATCTAGCTGTATCCTTAGTATTTACTCCGTAGTCTTCTAGAGGTTACATCAATACCTCTCAAAACATCTCCAACTTAGAATCACCGGGGTATCTCCAAAAATGCTTTTGGCCTGAGTCCCTCCTCCAGATACTTTTGTTTCATTGATCTCAGCAGTGGTCTGGGGGTTCTAATGTGCAGGCAAGTTGAAAAGCACGCTGCTATACCCTTGCTCTTCAAAGGGTGACCCGGTAGCACCAGTGCCAGACTCTACTGTGTTTGTCATAACTTCAGATTTTCAGGTTGCCACTCCAACCTATTGGGTCAGACTCTGCATGGTAACCAGACCCCCCAGGTTTTGGATGCACACTAAAGTTAGGGAAGCTCTTTGTCCACAGCTGTGGTTCTCAAAACTGGCTGTACTTTGGAAACACCACAGTGGCCCAGACCAACAACGTCAGAAATTCTGGGAGTGGACACCAGGCAGCTGTAGTTTCAAAAGTTCTCAAATGATTCTGATGGATCTGGACCTTGCTACTGGGAAGTGGTGGAGGTACCTAGGAAAGAGTTGGGTGCTGGGACCCCGACTTCACCGTGAGATTGAAGAAGAAAGGATTGTGGAGAAGTGAGACAAGGGGCAGGTAACGTAGGGCTCACTACTGCTCTGGACCTCACCCCTTCAGCCTTCCATAGCTGTCCAGCATGCTCATTTCTCCTGGTGCTTCCTAGTTCCTAGAGTGACATTCTCTCCTAGCAGGACAGGAGACTCTACTCTATTTCTCACCTTGGATAAAATAAGCTTTGCCTGCTGTTGTTTCTACAAGTCCAGTCATGATTGGCCCCACAATCATCTTAGGTCACAGTGGACCCTTATCTTCCCATCTAAACCTTCTCCTCTTCCTGCTCATTCCACATAGAAAACCATTCATCTATCCAGACAAGCAAGCCGCAAACTTTTGTGTTCTCATAGCTTGCCTTCTTTCTCCCTGCCACATCTACTCAGACTTCAAGTCTGGTCAATTCTTCCTCTAAAGATCCTTCCAAGTCATCTTCTCCTTAATTACATTTTCACTGCTTTTATTCAGCCCTCTGGGATTTCTTGTGAAGACCTCTGCAAAAAGCTTTCTGTTTGGTAGCTCTTCCTTCTATTCTTGCCCCCTGCAATCCATCTTCCATATTGGAGCCAGAGTGATCTTTTTGGAGTCAAATTTTGGAGTCTCTCTTCCACTTTTGATTCTTTGACTGGTCACTATATCCCTCGATTTGGTTTCAAACTCCTTAGTATAGTAATCATTGCCATTCCTGTCTGCTTCCCCAACCACTGGCACCCTGCACTCTACTTTAAATGGACAAACTCAAAGTTCTCCAAATCCAGTGTGGTATTTCACTTCTCCCCTACTTTTATAGTTCCTCTTTATGTAATGTCCATCTGATGTCCTCACACCTGCCTAGTGAACTCTTTCTCCTTGGAAACCAAACCATTAATTAATCTCTTGCCCCAATTAACAAAAGTCAACAGGCATGCCTGGGAAGGACCATTTCACAATCATTCTCAGGCCTATGAAGGTCTTAGAGAGGACATTGGTGAAGGATTACTGTCTGTGTCTACAGAGGCATGGACAAGAGGAAGTGAGCTTGAACAGAAATGGGAAAAATTCCCTCTTGGTCAAAGGAAAGGATACTTATTTAATCACGAACTGGCAAAACACTGACATGAATGTTAGAGAAAGGTCTTTCCTGAGTGATAGGAATCTCAACCTGATGCTTTCCCTGCCCATATAGCTCTAGGAGTCTCGGATTTTGTGCATTGACTTGAGGGCTTCCAGAAGAGTGGAATCTGTGTGTCCTATCAAACATGAAAGGGAAAATAAAATCCTTATAGTGGAGTGGAAGAAGCTATTCTAGGAGTAAGGAATCCTGGCTTCATGACTGATCTGTGATGTATTCTTTTGTCAAGTGAGTTAACATCTCTGGGCTTCTGTTTCTTCATTTATAAAATCAGAATTGGACTAGACTAATGTTTCTCTACTGAGCTATGTAGCCTTATCTGGAGACATTTTTAATTGTCACAAGTTGCATGGGCAGTTTGCTACTGACATGGAGTGGGTGAAGGCCAGGCATTACAACTTCTTATAATGTGCAGAACAAATAAGTCTACTATCCCCAACCTCAGGGGTACTGAGGTGGAGAAACCCAGTGGCTAGTGGCTGCACAACAGAACAGCCTAGGAGACTTGTGAATTATCTAGCCTAGACTCCGCCATGACTTGTGTAATCAAAACTCTGACTGAATGGAGATTCCTCAGCACTGAAGGCTCACTTATCTACCCTCTTCCATTGAGCATCCACTGAGCACCTTCTCTGTGCTTGGTTTGGTGCAAGGTTCATTCTTGTCCCTGGAGATTCAGAATTTCATAGTTATTATCCTAAGTTCCATCAGACAATGACTGAACCAATATCTGCCTTCATGTTTGGTCATATGTAACCACACACTGCAGTTTCTAACAATACGAATTGGCATAACTCCAACTCCAAAGGAGAATTCTCTGAACCACAACATGGAAGGAGCTCCCCACAGTGCACTTGATTTTGACATAAGCCAAACATCATATCTTTGTTGTGTTGAAAAAAATTTTTGTGACCTCTCATATATTCAATTTAAACCAAAATACCATAAAAGTAATATAATAATATACAGAGCTGGTAGCACTTGGTATTTCAGATTTCAGGATCTTAACATTCTTTTATCTTGGCCATATTTGAACTTGGGCCATAATTTCTGGAGCATAGAGCAGAGGTTTCTGGGAAATATTCAGCCCTGCATGGTGAACACAGCATTGGGACCAAGGAGAGTCTACTATCCCAGGCTCCCTGGTAAGCATGCTCAGTTGTCATAGTTGGGCCCCTTCCACACCCCCATGCTGAGCCTTCCTTTGCTGATCAGTGTCTGGGTTGAAGTGAATGCATCTCAGCTGAACGTCCACACACACTGGCAGACTCCATTTGCTGCTCTGTTAGTATAAGATTTCTCACGTTTCAAAAATGTCCATTATATGACATCTGAAGAATCCAGGTATTTTGGGGGGTATTTCTCCAGACAGAAAAATTGGAAAATTTCCACCTCTCCTTTTGTATAAGACTTCACTACTTAGATTAACCGATCATCCCCTAGTGTACGTTTTGAGTTGAGTCATATTGACTAAGACTTGTGTCTTAGTCTCCCTTACCCCCATAGATACAGCCTTGATTAGTTCAGTCCTTTGAAGATAACCTTACACATTCCATGGAACCAAATCCCACTAGATGTTCTCTCCAAACCATGGGTCCAAGGCCTAATAAGTCAGAGGATGATGCACTGGAGTCCTCCACTTGGATATTTATGGTGATTATAAGCATAATAATGTAACAAATATTATTCTATAACAAATATACTTACTCTATATAAAAAAACAAAAATAGTCTTATAGAATGATTACATTCTACCAATATCCTTTTCCTTGGAGTTCAGAGACTGGCCAGACTGAACACCTGTTAAATAGCTTTTTTGTGTGTGTGTCAACAGATTGAACGGAACTCTCTGTTGACCTCATGACGTCAAAGCCATCACTCACTCTTATTGAATCTCCTCTGATAGTCTAAGAACTTGGGAAAACTGAGAAACTGGTAAAATCAGTCTTCATTGGCCTTTTCTCTTTTTAGATCCTATGCCCCACCAGGAACTTGGGATTTTCAGCTGCCCCAGGTTTCTGGAGACGTCTCCTTTTCTGAAGTGGGGATGTCCCTGCATGCCGTGCCCTGTCCCATCCTCCACTTAACTTTTCTGCATCTCGTCTTCTGCTTTACATGGTGGACGTAAACTGTAAATCAGATCATAGGAATTTATTGAAGTTTTCCCCTTAGGAAAAAATGAATGAAGGAATGAGAGAAAGATCTCTTCTCTCCTCCCCCAGCCATTCCCTCTCTTCCATGGGACATGCACATTTTAGCAAAGCTCTTGGAAAAGATGTGTTTTGGCCTAAAGGAGCAGCTCTAAGAGGAGGCATTTAGTCTACATGGCAAGTCAGAGGAACAGGGGCTTGGGGAGAGGTGGGAGGGTTTAGGGGTAGCCGAGGCCTGCCCCTGAGCTCCTACTATGCTGGCAATCACCTCAGCCAACCTGGAGGTAAAGATCTGTGCACAGATTCTGGGTTGCCAAAAAAGTGCCACCAACAATGTTATATCTGGGAAGACAGCTGTACTATGGTGGATCTGGAAGGGAGCCTTGTATTTCTGAGGTCCTAAATGCCCCTGACCTGGTCACAGAATCCTAAAGGAGTTGGCTTGGTTCTTGAGAAAGTTCCTCCTTTAGGTCCTTTCTCACTGTGCACAAATGAAGACTAGCATCAGCCAAATCAGATGGTGGACTCTTGTCTCCTTGGAAGCCTAGAGGAGCAGTCTCCATGGTAACCCAAGATGGCGCTTTACTCCATGTCAGTGAGGAAGTGCTTCCTCCATGCGGCCTGTGGGTGGATGCTCACTTTCTCTTGTCTGGTCTCTGGAAGACACCAAGCACAAAGGCATCCATGTCGTCCTTGACTCGACCCTGCCTTTCCAAGGAGACAGTCCTGACTGAAACGAATTTGTTGAAAGATGTGTCTCCAGGCTGTTGAAGCTTGCTTTGTAAGAAAAATGTCTGCGTTCAACAAATCACTTAGCCAGGCACCCAGGGTTTTTCTCTTTATGATGAGAAACAGAGATCCCATTAAAAGGGGATAAATTACTTGGTTACGTTTAGTTTGTATTTAAATTTTCTTTTACTAAATATCCTTTGGCTGGGAAATTCCATCATTCCTGTTGGCTTACGGTTTAGATAAATAGCTGCTTGCTTGAAATGCAAGCTTTTTAGCTTTAAGCATTAATTCTCCTAAGGCTGGTAGAGCAGGTGATAGCAGGTATAGGTTAGGTTCTGTAGGCTGGGTTCAGTGTGTGGTCAAACAATCTTATTTCTAGACAGGGACATTAGTCCTGTGCAGGATCAATGTCTGTAGAGACTTTGTCCCATTAATTGTCACCTGATCACCCTTTCCATGGGCTCCTTCTCCATTGCAATGGAGACACTATTAAATCTTTCAATCTTAAAATAACAACTGCACCAAAAATTTCTTGCATCCCTGCAAAAACAAAAACAAACAGGGAGCAACTTGGTCTCTATTTGGTATCCCAAGTCTGCTACTACATACAAGCCTCTTAAACAGGGTTGACAGGATCTCCCCATATTTCATTAAAAAAAAAAAAAAGCATCACCGCCTTGCTTCTCTTAGTGAGACCCTTGTTGCTAAGTTCTATGCAGCCTTTAAAACCTTCTTCCCCTCGTGGGCTTCCGATGCCTCTTTTATGTGGATCATTCCAACTGGAGTTTAGACCCAGGAGTGCTCTCTACCAATGTGCTATGCTCCTATCCCTTTTTTAAATTTTATTTCGAGACAGGGTCTCGCCAAGTTTCCAAGGCTGGCTCTGAACTTACGATCCTCCTGCCTCAGCCTCCTGAGTCACTGGGATCACAGATGTGGGCCACTGAGCAGGGTTTCCTAGCTACTTAGTCTCAGTCTCTTGCTGTCAGCACCTTCTTCACAGTTCCCTTCATAACAAGGACGGACTCTTAACCCTCTATCCCTCTCTCCCACTGTAGAGTCTCCCTGAATGATTTTACTCTAATTGCTTCATGCTCTGATTGGGACCTCTCTGCGGAGGTGCAAACAAATATCTAATTGCATGGGGCATCTCTTATGTTCAGAACGACTGGACTCCCCCTCTTACCCACGTTCTTCCCCCCTCACGTGCTCCCTCTCTTGGTGAACGGCACCACCACACATTTGAGATCCAGAAACATCGGGGTTATCTTTGACTTCACATCCAACCAGTTAGGAAGCTCATTTGACTGAAGCCTCCTAGTAATTTCAAACCAGTCACCCTTCTCCATCACAGAAATAGCAGGGCAGCAGATCGGGTTCACCTCTCCATCGTCTCCCCCTCCCAGGAACTCTGAAACTGCCTTCCACCTGGTGGCCTCTGATCTTGTCCTCATCCAATCCGTTCTCCACACTTATGCCAAAATGACCTTTCTGAAATGCCAAAGTATGAATCTGACCAGGTCACTTGCCTGCTTTGAATTTATCACTGGGTCTCCATTGCTTTCAGAAAAAACACACACACAAAAAAAACCCTCAAACTCCTTAGCAGGACCCTGAACAACCCTATGCCAGTTGGTCCTCTCTCCCTCTCTAGCCTCCTCTTCGCTGTCCAAGCCCACACTCAGTACATCCTCAACCACTTGCTCTTCTGCACCTCCAGGAGGCTCATGAGCTGTCCTAAGGATGGAGTGGAGGATTGGCTCCAAGAGGTGAACACACACCACTGACAAATGGCGCTGGTTAGTGGCCAAGAGATGCCATTCTCCGGTGTGGGTCTCTCTGCATTTCCACGGGCTGCCTTGGGGCCTTCACAACCTGGTAGCTGGCTTCCCCCAGAGGGTGTTTCAGGGGAAACCATTCTTTTGAGGGCCCTACAGTTACCTACCATCACTTCCTCTTGCATCATTACACAGAAGTCATTAAATTTAGCTCACATGGAAGAGGGGACGTTTGAAAGGAGAAGTGTCAAGGAATTTGTGGGTATATCTTACCACTTCTACCAAGGTGGACAACAGAGAGCTGGATTTGTCCCATCTAGGACAGTTAATAAAAGTGTTCTATGGAGTGGAGAATGTATTCTGACCGGTGAACCTCATGTGGCAGCAGGACCTCAACTTAGACACCAACAGGACTAGAGTCTTGTTTTGTTTTTATTTTTCTCTGTGGCTGTTATTGTTTTTACAGAGTTAGGGATTGAATCCAGGGCTTCACACATGGTAAGCAAGTGCTGTACCTCTGAGCTACATCCCCGACCCTTTTTAAAATTTAATTTTGAGCTGTGATCCCAGCAACTTGAGGCTGAGGCAAGAGGATCCCAAGTTGGAGGCCAGTCTGAGCAATTTAGTGAGATCCTGCTTCAAAAAAATAAATAAAAAGGGTTGGGGATGTTGCTCAGTGGTAGAGTGCCCCTGTGTTCAATCCCAGTATAGTATAACAACAACAATAAATAAGTAAACAAATAAGTAAAAATTATTTTGAGACAGGTTCTCACTAAGTTACTGAGACTGGCCTCACACTTGTGATCCTCCTGTCTCAACCTTCCAAATAGCTGAGATTATAGGCACGTGCCACCATACCCGGATAGGCTGGGTTTCTTACAGATGAGCAGCAGTGTGGCATTCTGTTTAAATGGAGGGAAGGTTGTTATCAGATAGATCTGAGCTGTAGCAACAGCTCAGTCACTGACTAGCTGCACAACCTTAGAAATTATACTCCTCTCCTCTGGGCCTCTGTTTTCTTGTTGTATTATGGGGATAAAAATAGTTGTAGCTACTTTAGGGGTTGTTATGAAGATTAAATAAAATAATCCATGGAAAGTTCTTAGCCCAAAGCCTGGCCTCGTAAGTACTCAATAAATGTTGTTGTTGATGATGATGATGATGATGATGATGATGCTCATGATAATGAAGAAAATGTCCACCTTGGATGGCTTTAGCTATGGGCCTCATTAAGCAGAAGAATTATTAAATGATACTTCTAAAATCCCTTCTAGACCTTCAGATCAGATGGCCTTTGGAGCAGTGGAGATTAAGTAATTATTGCAACCAACCAACTGCCACATTGCCCCTGGTTTATGTGGATGAGGGGCGGATGGCCACGTCCAGGTGTCCTCAATAGTCACAGCATTATGGAGCACACCTTTACTTACCTACATCTGTTTTTTTTTCTTTTTTCAAGGTTAATTTCTTCATCTTCCTGAAAATTCTCAGGCTTCTCATTTCTAAGCTGAAAGCTCATCAAATGTGCTTCAGAGATTATAAATACAGGTGAGTGGCCTACGGTCGGTATTCAGAAGTCCAAGGTTATTTCGAATCCTTCTTGTGGTGTTGCCTAATGTCTTAGGAAGGTCAGAAAAAGTTGCATTAGTATATTTGTCTACTAAGGTGAGTCAGAGAGAGTCCTTCTGAAAATAGTGTCATAGAGCATGTGGGACTGGCAGGGAGGAGAACCTTCTGGCCCCATGTAAAGGAAAGCAGGTAGTGAGTAGCCGGAGACATACTCATTCCCCCCAGTACAAGACTGTAAAGTGTCCCTAAGGATGAGTGACTTATGGAGAAGGGAAAGCCTGGTATGAATGGAACTTTGGCAGTTGCCTTCCTTGGAGGATTTGAGGCCACAGAACAAAAGATACACTCATAACTCAGAATCTGAGATTTGAGTATTTTTGAGACCTTGAGAAGTAAGACCACAAACTTCAGAGTCTAAGGAAATATGTTCCCTATACAATTGCTTTTTCTGTGACTTGACTTTGCTGTGTCTCTCCTGCTTTCTGTTGCAATTGCAGTCCTTGTTCGTCATAGATTAGATGGCACATTACTGAGATCTGCATTGCTCTTTTCCTAGTCATCCTTTCCTTTGGATGTGGCCAGTGATTTCAGCTGGGGCTGTCAAGGAAGGGGTGATCTAACCCAAGTGATGGCTCTGAAGTAAGGGCTTCAGTCCACACAGCAGGCTAGAGGAGGTGGGAGGGGTGAAGAGGGACCCAGCCCTGCACCTCACTCTTTCTAAGTCTGAGCCAGGTGCCAGAAGGTGGTCTTTCTATTTATCTGACAAACATTTAATGAATGTCTCCAACTGGAACAAGAGGTAAATACAACATGGACCCCATCTTTGAGGTGCACGCATGCTACTTCATTAAGAACTGGGGCCTTGGGGTGGAGCACGCGACAGGTGGTGGGGGGTGGAGAGCTGCCCACAACCCCAGACTCACTGACTGGCCTTAGGCAAGGGCATTGGCCTCCCTTGGGCTGTTTTTGGTGTACAAAATGGGAGTGTTGACCCGTCTCCTGCCTAATATGTCAATTCAAGGAGGCTTCTATAAAGCCTCTTTGCTTTCTTTTTCGGGTCCCCCTTTTCCAGGGTTATCCAAGACAGGGGTGTCTACGCTTTCGGATCACGTATCTTGATCAGCAAAGAAATTTTGAGCAAGAGCCTGTGTGATTCAGTTAGACGGCTCACCTAATCAGAGGTGGGGAGCAGCATTTGCTCAGGATCCAGACCTCACATCTTATCATCCCCCAATCCCTGCTCCACGACATCGCGAAGGGTAAACATACCCAGTTTAGGAATGGGCAAATATATACTAGAGCTGCTAGTTGAGGCTTTCACTCAAATATTTTGCAGAAACCCTTAACCCTGGGGAACTGGCCTGGCCTGGGCCCTGGGGAGTTGCACTGTCTCTCTTGGCGCCTCTAGTCGGGCCTCCAAGTGGCCGAGCAGCCTCCTTGGCCCCTTTCCCAAGGCTCAGCCTCTCACCACTCTGAGGGTTGAGCTCCTGGTCCACTCAGGCAGGGCAGCCTTCTGGATGCAGGGACAAGCAGGGTACCCAGAAGCTGGACAGAGGTGAATACTCTCAGGAGGCAGAATCAGGGGTCAGGTGAATTCCAAAGGACTCTGAGCCCAAGCCCCTGCTGCTTTGTGTCCCCAAAGTCCACCAGGCACCCCTGGAATCTTCCCCAGGTTCCAGACCCCCAGTGACCCTCTACAATATCTTTCCGCTCTGACTACTTTTAAGCGTTCCCTGAGAGCCAGCTCAAAGCACAGCCTCATGAGCCCCACTACTGACTCAGGGGGTACAGGACGGAAACCTGCCATATGGACTTCCTGTGGATTCCCCAGGGATTCGGATACACAGCCAGAATAGGGGACCTCTGATGAGATGCTCTAGTGAAATAACACATGGAGTTTTCTGCTTAGGTATGCTGAATGGTGTTTCTATAAAGCCTGTTTTTTTTTCTTTTCCAGGGTCCCCCTTTTCTAGAGTTATCCAAGATAGCGGTTTCTAAGCTTTTTGATCATGCATCATGCATCTTGATCAATAAAGAAATTTTGAGCATGTGCCTCATCATATATATATGTGTGTGTGTGTGTGTGTGTGTGTGTATATAATATATATATATATATATAGTCTAATGAACTAATACATACCTTATATATAAAAAACAGAAAATATACAATGATAGATAAATATTAATATACAAAGAACTCCTATTATCTTCTATTTTCTTCCAGTATTAAAGAAGTCAGCTTGCATAAGCCTGGGGTGTGCATACTCACTTGGTAGCCATTGATCTGGGGAAGTGTAAATCAAGACATTGGGGAACCTTTATGGCTGAGCAATGATCGAGAATGGATGGTTGGAGGGTAGAAAGAATAACCTGGTCTGACATATACATTCTGTCTGGAAATTTGTTTTTTTTTTTTCTCCCTTTCCCTATCTTTGTTCAAGGAAAAATCTAGAGAAAGGGAATCTGGGTACATATCTACCCAAAGGCCTTTCAGGGTCAGAGGCCTCACCTTGGTGAGCTTGCCACTACCCAGAGACTGTACGGTGGACTTCACTGTGTTCCTGAATGATTGGCTGATGCCCTCTGAACTTAAAAGAAGTTCATGTACATAAACTAGATGACGAGTTCTCCTTCTCTGTTCCTTGTCTCCTCCTCCTCCTCCTCCTCCTCCTCCTCCTCCTCCTCCTCCTCCTCCTCCGTCCAGGGGATTGAACCCAGGAGGGACTCTACCACTGAGCTACATCCCTAGCGCTTTTTGTTTTTTGTTTTGAGACAGGGTTTCACTAAGTTACTGAGGCTGGCCTTGAATTTGCAATCCTTCTGCCTTAGCCTCCAGAGTTGCTGGGATTATGGGCAAGTATGTGCCACCGCACCCAACCTATTATTCATTTTTAATGTCTGTGGAAGGTGGGGATGGGGTCGGGCATTCCTTTGTAGTGCACACATGCCTTACGATGTTCTCAGAAATCCAGAGTTCACCAGAATGTTGCTTGGGGAGAGTGTGGTCAAAGCAGAGAGGTTGAAGGACATCTGAGAAACCTACCTGGCCTATTGCACTCTACCTGTTGAGAATGTGGTTCATTCTCCAGAGCCAGTGTGCCTTCCACAGAGGAAAGCGGGATGAGTAGCCAAAACATCCTCCTTTGTAATTTTTACTGCCATTTTCAGTGAGGAAGAGGGCAACATGAGATGACCATGCGGACATACACTTATTTAATTTTTTTTCATGGAGAGTCTAATTTAATTGATTCACTTATGCTTTTTTATTTTTTTAGCAAAAATTTAGGAACTTATCTGTCAGGAGACACCCATGCTATTTTTGCTCCCTGGGCTAGAGAGATCCCACAGCAAAAAAAACTATGAGCTCATTTGTCACTTTGCTCTCGGGAAGTAGTGCTAGTTTCCTCATTTCCAAGCTCTGGAAGGGGCTGCCTACTGTCACCCCCGGTAAGTTGTCAGCATGCCTGTCTCCCCCTGCCCTCTCCCGTGTTGAAAGCTTGCTCCTCTTCCACGTCTCCCTTTCATGTTTGTATTCCCTGAAAGCCCTCTCATGGGCCCAATGCATTTCATCCAAATTCTGGTAGGTGCAGGCTCCCTCCAACTCTGAGATTTTGAAAACGTTTGGAATGTAATGTTCAAGATCTGGCTCCCCTCCAGGAGTATATTTTAGGAAAGTTTGAATTAAACACATGTAGGCCCTGCCAAAAAGGCGGGTTGCTAGGAGCTGGAGAATCTTCTGTATTCTTAGCCCTTGTCCCTGGGCTTCCACCATCAAGCAAAGGAAACAGAAGATGTCCCATCTTTGTGTTTTTGGAGTAGGAGAGCAGAGAGCCAAGCACGAAGGAGGAACTTCAAGGCTAGCAGCAAGGCTAAGGATGTTCTTGGAATGTGGACAGGGACCAGCAGACACTTAGCTTCCCGAGTTCTCTATTCTTCGTGGTTCCCAGGAGGAGACGGGTCTCTTTTCACAGAGGAACAATCCTAACCTTCCATGGGATGCACGAGGATCGAATGCCTAATGAATGTATAAAAGAGGGTCATTTTTAACATGCTAAGACCCAGAGTGCTTCCGCAAAGGACTTCCAGGTAGGTAATTTGAGGGAGAAAAGGTTTTTTTGCTCCATCTTCTTAGGGTCCCTGGTTGGGCGTCTGAAAGTCAAACTGATAAGATTAACAGGGTCAAAGGCATGCAAACTTATGTCGAAGTTTTATGTGACACAGGAACTTTCATGAGGAAATGAAGACCCCAAGAAATGACTGAAGTTACACATTTTTAGGTCAGGTCTGATGGTGAATGGAGAGTTATGGAGAAATAGCAGTGGACAGAAGGGGTGTGACCAGATGGGACTAATCTGGGGGAACTAACCAAGACCTGTGGATTCAGAGTCTTTGGAGTCTTCAGAGATGAGGATGTTCTTTCCCTGGGGGTGCAAGGAGGGCATCTCTCAAAGGAGGGCCTTTGAATCTTTATCAGGGGCAGTTCAGGAAATTCTTTGTGGGTTTTTTTTTAAATTTTTTTCAGTTGTAGGTATTTTATTTATTTATTTATATGTGGTGCTGAGGATTAAACCCAGTACCTCACACATGGTAGGCAAGTGCTCTACCCCTGAGCCACAACCCCAGGTCCCCTTTGTAGGTTTTTGAGCTGATTTTAGGGGAGAAGTAGAGGAGAGATTGAAGAGTGATGTTCCTGCTTCTGTAATTTTCTCAAAAATTTTCAGCTTAAAACAGTCTAGTTACCATATTTTGAAGAAGCAAGTTCTGAGCCCCATCAGCAACTACAGACTAAATACATCACAAATGGAAATAAAAGTGATCAAAATCACTGAAGCTATAGCAACCTAAAGGCAGTGATGCCTTCTTTAAAAATTTATTGATCATTTATTATGATTAGATATTATTTATTCTGGGGGTTTACCCCATGTTATTGGCTTAATCCTTATGATGACCCTGTTGGATGCTGTTATTAGTAAAATCCTCTTTTTACAGATGAGGAAACTAACAGAGAAGTGAAATAATTGGCCCAAGTGCACATTGAGAGTAATTGATGACACGGGTGTTTGAACCCAGGTCCAAGAGCTGGCCCTGCACACGGCCACCTTCATCTCCAACTCTTCCACTCCCACTGTCCCCGCTCATGTGCCCGGAGTCCATACGCAGTAAATATTTGTTGAATAGTTAAACGACTACAATAAACTGTACTGGTTAAATAAACAAATGGTTATGGATGAAAAATAAGTGTACACACAATCCATAGGGGTAAGCTGCTTTGACTATTTATGGGTTTTCATCTGAGCTGGGTCACAAATAGTACTTTCATCGAAGGAGAAGTTAGAAGAATGTGAGTAGTGGAAAATCCCTTCTTACTTCCAACCAGAGGGATGATAGTGACTAAAATGGCCCCAAAAGATGGCTCTTCAGTAACAGTCACTCCATGCTAACTGCAGTGTGGGATCCAGGAAGGTGAGAAGGACATTAGGTGGAAAAACAGTGGAATCCAAATAAAGTCTGCAATTTAGCTACTAGTGATATTCCCGTGTTGGCTCCCTGAGTTTGACAGGTGTGTTGTGGCCACGTATTGTTTAACAGAAACGGAAACTGAGGGAAGGGTGTGTGGCAACTCTGTACTACGTTTGCGACTTTTCTATAGATCTAAAATTATTTCAAAATATAAAGTTTATTTAAAAAAACACATAAAGTCATAACATGGCCCCAGAATAAGTTCATGGTAAGACTTGACCCACAGGAAGCATGTGAGTATGTGTCATTAAAACCCAGATAGCCCAGAGCAAGGGTCACAGATTCAGACATGGGCAAGGGCCAAATAAGGTCATAAGTGAGCAGTCCAGGCTCAGTGGGTGCTGAAGATCACAGGTTCCCTCTAAATGGAGGGCCACAACCCAGCCAGAACCAATGATACCAATGATTGCCAAGCAGTAATTTGGCCCCTAAGTGTCCTGTTTCCAAGAGATGAAAATCTGAACACCTTCACTTTGCAATCTCCTTAAAGATGTCTCCAGTAGCTTTAAAGAAAAAAAAATCACTATGTCATTTAAACAAAACTATCTCCAAGTCATTTCCAACCTATGATCACCATTTTGCAACCTTTGACACAGAGGGTTTTTAAAACACTCCTGAAAATAAAGAAAATAAGACAAAACTAAAACAAACAAAACCCAAACCCTTAGGCTCTGTGGATATTGATCAATGATAGAGTGCAGGCTTAGAATGCATAAGGTCTGGGTTCAATCCCCAGCACAAGAAGGAAAAGGAGAAGAGGAGTGAGGAGAAGGAGCAGGAGTAGGAAAAGGAGGAAAACTCTTAAAATATTCTCTCCTTGGGAACAAGTTACTGTGCCTGGCAGAGAGACTCCCCGCTGGCTGGGAATGGGGATGGGAGTACATCTGAGTTCCACTCAGGAGAACCGCATGACTGGGACCTGCAACTCATCCTGACTCAGGGGCCTCCCCTGAAGGTCAAGGGTCAGGGACACAAAGCCCACGTGGACAGGTGGAGTCACTCCTGCATGGTGGCTCCTACTCCCCACTTCTGGCGCTACCTCCTTTAAGGGCATATAGTGAAAGTTTTTTGTTTCATTGATGACACTGAATGGGTCTCAGATACAGGATTCTAGTAAACTTGGATGGAGTTCAACCTTCCTAAAGAACTGCTTGTAAACTGTTGATGACACTCTCAAGTGTCTACATCTCTACCTCCGGGGGTGTGGAGAAGTGACTCGGGCTAAAAACACATTGCAATTAGTCTCTTTTTTTTTTTTCCCAATGCAAATTAGACAATAGCTTTGTTCGTATCCTGACTATGAGTCACCTTTGCTAATGTGGTTAGTTTCAAATCTAGAAACAGCTCAATAGTAAAAAAGCAGTCATCCCCAAACTTAGCTATGTATCAGAATCCTATAGGAATTTCTTTAAAAATCACTGTCTCAGGACCCAACCTCAGGGAGTTGACACAATCCCAGGAAGCTTATGGGTACCACAGCATCCTTGGTCTTCGTGGAGGTTTGGTTCCAAGACCCCCATGATACTAAAATCCACAGATGCTTAGTTTCCTTATATGAAAATGATGTATTTGCCACTCGCCCATCTTCCCAAATACTTGAAATCATCTCTAGATTACTTTTGATACCTAAAACAATGCCAATGATATATCAATACTGTATTGTTTAGAGACTAATGAAAGAAAGAAAATGTTTGTGTTTGGTATAGATAAATTAAAAAGGAAAAATTTCCACCCACAGTTGGTTGAATCTACCAATATAGAACCCAGCCTATTTGGAGGGCCCACTGGAAATATTTTAAAAGCTCTGTAAGGAATTTTACTAGTCAGCCACATTTGGGACTCACCAGTTTGGCATGTTTGGGCCCCAGCTGTGCACTTTACACGTGGGTGGTACAAAGGAATGTTTGTCTTTTTTTGTGTAGACTGTATACAGCAGCAAACCTCCACACAGCACTTTTTATGAGGAGGATCAGGTTTTCGTTTCCTGTGGTCCTTGCAGGGTTGAGGGTTGCCTGAGGGCTGATGGCAAAGTGCAGCTCAGATTTGCAGGGCCTGAGGTTAAGTCAGAGACCCCTCCCACTTCCAGGCTGGGATTTGACATTTAGGTTTTGTGATCCCGAGCAACTCATTTTCTCTCCATTCTCAGGCTGCCATTTAAAGTCCTGACATTGAAAGACCTGAGTAGAAAAAGAGAGAGAGACATATCTGTTAGCCATGTAATAGGAAAATTGCCAAACCTGGGAGGTGTGGAGTCTGGGCATGGCAGCTACTTGCATGAATATGTATCTCTCAGTTAAAACATTAATATCTGTATGCATAGATAAACCTATATGGGAGGAGTTATCCATTCATGCATTCATTGCATTCATATTTCCTGAGCATCTACCAGGTGAAGGGAATGCAACAATAAATAAGACCCTCAAGCATTAAATGTGTAGTCAAAGAGACCAACTGGAAAATCAACTATTCATCAAGACGATAAAGACAGACACCAAAGAGCAGGAAATGCGGTTGAGTCCCAGGGTGGCCCTCATGACTGTTATTTGGTTGTCATTTGCAGACTGGCAAAATCAACACTGGTCCTCATTCCTTTACTGGGTGTCCACGAGATCCTCTTCTCTTTCATCACTGATGACCAAATCCAAGGATTTTCAAAACTCATGCGACTCTTCGTTCAATTGACATTGAGCTCCTTCCACGTAAGTAGGAGTCTGACCAGGATTCCTTGGCTTGGGAGAAAATAAAATGCATGGGATCTAAATGGGCTCAGAATGAAGAGAGATCTATGGATGAAAACAGATTTCTAGCATGAGCAGGCTTTATTGGTGAGGACCCTTGGAATGAGAAGGGTGTGCAGATGGGAGGTGTTGCCTTGATTCTGACAGCGTGATTCAGTGACTCAGAAAGGAACAGGGCTCGTTCCTGGCTGTAATAGGTAGTGTGACTCATGATCATATTAGCTGAGTGTGTCAACCTGAAGCCTTTTATTAAGGGCCTATTTTTGCTGGGTTCTCTGCCGAGCAGCATGCAAAATGATCCTTGTCTATGCTTCAGATGACAGGTACCTAGGACACAATATAACCTGGGTAAAGGAGTAGTAGGACCACACAGCGGGAGGTTCTTGAGCCTGACAGATGTGTATGGGAGGAAATGAGAAACCAGAGGCTGACTGTCATTAAGTTATCTGAATATTTTAGTTATCCATTACTTACACTATGTATGACTTAGTAACTTATGATGACCATCATTGTTTTCCCTCTCATGATGCTGGGAGTCAGGAATCCAGGTAGGACATGGTAGCAGTGGCTAACCTTTGCTCCTGTGAGCCTGTGGGGGCTGGAGATTCTATGATGGTTTCTTCACACATAGGTAGGGGCTCAAACTGGGGCTGGCCTTATTTGTCAAATTTCTGGGGCCTCATTTCCCACCTCTAACTACCTTGCTGATTTCCATAGGGTCTTAGGGTCTCTCACTTTCCACTCTTCTTGTGGTCTTTCCAGAGTAACTGAACTTCTTATGTGGCAGTTCAGGGTCTTCAAGAGCAAAAAACCGAAGCTGCTAGGTTTTTCAATGCCTGTGTCTGGAACTGACACCTTGATGTTTCTTCTGCATTCTGCTCTTTAAAGCAAGTCATAGATCCAGCCTAGGAGGAAGAGGAGGGGACTGCACAGGGACATGAATGTGGGGAGACATGGCTCATTAGTAAAGGCCACTAATGCAATAGATAAGTGCTAACCTAGCAGCATGGACAGAGCAGAAGTCCCCCCCAAACAGTAATGAACTTAGAATTAGTAAACTTTAAATGCTAATGTAGAAGCAGGACTTGCTGGAAGGGAGGAGAAAGGAGTTTAACAAATTCTTTCCCTCAAAAGAATCAAAGTTGATAACTGTCAATAGCAATCATTTTAGGATACAAGAAATTAACCAAAGGCATAGAAAAGATTGACAAGGTTTTATTCAAGAAATATTACTGAACTAAGAATAGTGGGAATCTATGTCATTTTGGGCTGTGACTGCTTTTGTTCTCCACCCCCTGCACCATCAGTTAGGAAGTTCTAATGAAAATTAGCAGCTTCACTGCATAAGGGGGCTGACTTGATTTGGATCAGAAAGCAGAAAAATCTCACAGGCCTAGACATTGCCAAATACAGTGGTGATCTCAGTGGCAAGGGACCAGGTAAGGACAATGTCGCAGCCTGCTGTTACAATCCTATTTAGGGTAAGAAATGGACCAGTGGGCTAGCCACAAATTTAACAGGGAAGTCTGAGAAATGAGACCACCATAGTGAGCCTTGTTAAACTCCCATATAGCTCTCTGGTGGAATTAAATGTTGTGTAGACGCATAAGAATGCATACATATTCAAGATAGATCAGAAAGTATATCCCCACATCCCTGTCTGAATATGAGCTCCTGTACACACAGAGGAGACAGGAGAGGGCCTGATAGAAAATAAAGGCCATAAATTCTATAAATTCATACATTCAAAAACTTTGAATGTGTTCCCCCAGCAATACAAACTTCCATTGGCAAAGGCTATTGGAGCCTTACTGGCTCAAGATGGTTGAGCATAATTTTGATCAATCATTGGCTAACCAACTGTTTATTTTAAAAAAAACACAGGAGACCAGTCCTGCAGATAAAATGCGCGCGCGCACACACACACACACACACACACCATAATTTAAAGATGAACATAGATATCAGTGGTTATATGCCACAGGGGAGACAGATTAACCACACCAGGGATGGAGCATGTGGACTCAGAATTTTGAATTGCTATAATGTAGTATCTAAAATTTCCAGCTTTGGCAAAAAAAAAAAAAAAAAGATGTACAAGAAATGGGAGATGTACAAAGGAAAAAAAAGAGATGTCCATATGTAGGACAAAAAGCAGTCAATGGAAACTCTTTGAGGGATCCAGATGTTGGAATTAACAAACAACAATGTCAAAGAAGTCATTACAAATATGTTCAAATAATAAAAGGAAATCATGTTTAAAGCATTAAAGGCAAGTATGATGACAATAATTTATCCATAAAAGAAATTTCTACTGAAAGAGAGAAATTGTAAAATAAGAACTAAATGTAAGTTCTGGAGTTAAAAACTGCAATGACTGGCATGGAAATTTCACTAGAAAGGTGGACTCTCAGATTCAAGGTGGCGGAAGAAGGAATTATAGAACTTGAAGATAGGTCAGTTGAGATTATCTAATCTGACAAACAGATGGAAAACATAATGAAGAAAAATACAACCTGTGGGGCTGGAGTTGTGGCTCAGTGGTAGAGCGCTCGCCTAGCGCGGGTGAGGCACTGGGTTCGATCCTCAGCACCACATAAAAATAAATAAACAAAAATAAAAGCATTGTGTCCACCTACAACTCTCAGGTGCCCTGTGCGGATCCTCACCAGGACCCATCAATTTCCTTAGACCAGATTCCTAAAGCCTTTGCCACCAGACAGAGTCAGGTGCTGAGATTCTATGCACAGAGCAGAGAAAATGTGCTTGGCTCACCAAAGACTGAGGGACAGAGCCTGAGATGTGGTCTGGGCAGTTGGACAAGTTTTTATTTTCCCCTCCCATTGGAGCTGAATTCTTGTTTGTAGCTTTGAACTGAGACTAAGCAACATTTTTATTTTATTTTTTTTCATTATGAAAACATGTTTAATTTATTTCAATCTTTTGGGGGATTTCAAAAGCTAAGATTTAGTAATTTGAGTTTCCTGTGTTGCTTGGCCTTAATCTTCTTTAAAAGTTAATCCCAAATTAGGAGGGGAAAAAGGCAAATCCTGCAGCTGTAGTATTTGGTGGCCTCTCATCCCAGCCCTCCCCTGGCCCCAGCCCCAGGACATGATCAATCAATGTGAGCCCTTAATCAACTGATGTCACACATCTAAGGCTAGTTGAGGACCAGAAAATTCATGTGGAGTTATGTTGGACAGATTTCTAAGAAAGAAACCTAGCCTATCACATTCCTTGGATTTAAGGGATGTTTGGTCATCTGTTGCTATGTAATGAACCACCCCAAACTGTATGGTTTATAGAAAGAATAATTTAATAGTTTTAATGATTGTGTGGAATTTGAGGAATCAGAGTGATTCTGCAGGGTGTTTCGTATAAGGACTGAGCCAGAAAACACACCTTGAGGGCTTCTGTGTGGGCAAAGGTCTTTCACCTTCTGAACACCCTGGACCTATCCCCCTCCATTCTACCAGGTACAGTGAAATCATAGGTAGGCATCCAGGTGGGGGCCCATTTGGTGGGTTATATCTTAGTGACTCTACCCTGGGAATCAGCAAGAACAGGCATTAGCCCTAAGAGCTTCCTTTTCTTACTGATTTGGAGGGTTCTTCACTCTTCCAAAGGTTTACTGCTGGAGTTCTGGAGTTAAAAACTGCAATGACTGGCATGGAAATTTCACTAGAAAGGTGGACTTTCAGATCCAAGATGTCGGAAGAAGGAATTATTTTAGTCAGTTTTTCAGCACTGTGATCAAAATACCTGACAACTCAGGAGGAAAAGTTTACTTGGGGTGTCACAGTTTCAGAGGTTCTCTGTCCATAGACAAATAACTCCATTGCTCTGAGCTCAAGATGAGGCAGAACATCCTGGCGGATAGGCATGATAGAGGAGCCCTACTCCATTTATGGCAGCCAGGGAGCAGAGGGAGAAAGGGGAAGGGGCTATAGGGAAGAGACAATCTTCCAAGTCATGTACCTGTGATTCATCTCCTCCAGCCACACCCCACCTGCCTACAGTTACCCCCAGTCCGTCCATTTAAACCAGGACAAACTGATTAGGTTACAACTTGCACATTCTAATAATTTCACCTCAGAACATTCCTGCATTAACACAAGAGCTTTTGAGGGGACACCTCGTATCCAAACCATAATAGTTTCACCAGTCTTGTGCTATCACTGGACCTAAGGAGAGATGGCCAAGCCCTGGTGATACACGAAGTAAAAACCACGTGATCTATGGGACCTATTGGCTTCGCAGTCACTTTACCTAGAATGAGAATCATACTCCAGCATGGTCCTAAGACAATGAAGAAAGAACCCGAGGAAATGAAAAGACACATTTGTCACGGGAATCCTGTTAACAACTGTCCTGTTGTTTATAAGAATTCTGGCGCCAGGCACCGTGGCACACACCTGTAATCCCAGCAGCTTGGGAGGCTGAGACAGGAGGATCGTGAGTTCAAAGCCAGCCTCAGCCAAAGGCAAGTTGCTAAGCAACTCAGTGAGACCCTGTCTCTAAATAAAATACAAAATAGGGCTGGGGATGTGGCTCAGTGATTGAGTGGCCTTGAGTTCAATCCCTGGTAACCACCCCTCCCCCACAAAAAAAGAATTCTGGTACGTTGAAATCCAGTTTTTCTTATATCATGTGCCCAGAGGTGAGTATCACCTGTCCTGCCAACCAAGCAGGGTGTCTGTAAACCTCTGATGTGATTGTATGTGTGGAAACGATTAATTAGTACCACCATGTTCCCATGTAGGAGCTCTAGTCATGAAATATCTAGGGACATAAGAGAAGGAAAATTCCACTTGGGTAGGCAGAATCTGAGCATTTTACTGATATTGTGACGACCAACATGGAAATCCCTGACCAGGTTGCAAAAGGGATGTACTGAAAAAGGCTTACACAAGGAAGAGCAGAAAAACCTTGATAATAACTTAATTATGATCAAGAGATATAAAAGGAGTCATCCTGTCTTCAAGACCTTCACCTTTTAGTTGGAGATGTGTCCTTTCCTGCCAAGTTCTGGCATTTTGTGAGATTCTTCCCACAAAGATTCAAGTACTTGGGTGCCAAACATAAATCCAGCTTAAATATATCAGGCACTTAGCCCAAATTCCACAGGCCTTCATGTCAATTAAGAAAAGTCAGGGTATGTAGGTTCTCACAGATGGCTGCTCAAAAAATCAGGAAGTGTCAAAGTCTGCAGAATCAACAGAAATAAACATTAACTAAAGAATCTTTGATTCCAGACTTTTGGCAGTTATAGGGTGAACCCAGAAATATTTTACAAATTCAAGAGATTATCCTCTTATTGAAACTTCCCCAAGACAAATGTTTTGTAAATGAAAATACCATTACTTGACAATCTATATATAGTCTTTTCATTATAATCCTTGGGACTACAATTCTAAATAACTAAGAGGAGAATAAAGAAGAAACCATCTTTCCACGTTTCAGAATTGGTTTGATATTGTATAAGGCAAAACTCTTAATTGAGTCATGGATCATTCATTCATTCATTCACTCACTCTTTCATTCAACAAATATTTTTTGTGTGTGTGTATGTGTGTGTGTTCCTATTAAACGCCAGGCATTGTTTCAGGTGCTTGGGGTGTGGTAGTGAAAATCCAAGATAAGGATGCTACTCTGACTGCAAGTGAAGCAGAGAGGGATGGATAATAACCGATCAGATAAATTACAATATAATCTTGGTATTAAAAATGAATAAAATAGACCACTGTGATAGTGACTTGGGTAACCTGGAAAGGCCTCTTTTTGGTGATATTTGAGCTAAGATCTGACTTTAAGCAGATAGTTAGGCAGAAGTTTGAGGGAGAATCATCCAGAAAACAGGAAGTGTGAAGGGCTTTGAGAAGAAGTGAACTGTGGTAGCCAGCCCCCAAATATCCTTCAATGGCTCTCCATGCCCTTTTTTAAGTCTCTTTCCATATTGCAAAGAGTTGACCTATGTGACATTAGGATATTGTGGACATGATGATGTGTGACTTCTAAGATTAGGTCATAAAATGGGTTGCAGTTTCTGCTTTGTTCTCTTGGATCACTCCATCTGGGAGAAAGCAGCTGCCATGTCAGGAGGATACTCAAGCAGCTGCCATGTTAGGAGGATACTCAAGCAGCTTTGTGGAGAGAGACTGAAGCCTCCTACTGACAAGCACATCCACCTTACCCACCATCATCCAGCTGAGTGGGGAATAGGAATCTGAATGTAAATATTTCTGATTCCAAAGTCCAGAGGAGTGGAACATATTCTTTAAGTTTGGATATTAATAAATGAATTAATCATTATTATTATGTGTGAGAAAAAAATTCTACCTCTTTGTTTCTGTGATCATGATTATGTTTAACCTTGCAACTGATAATATTTCTAATTGATACATATGTGCATCAGTTTTTTTTTAAAGAGAAAGAGAGAGAGAATTTTTTTAAATTTATTTTTCAGTTTTCAGTGAACACACATCTTTTATTTTTATGTGGTGCTGAGGCTCGAACTGTGCATGCCAGGCCAGCGCGTTACAGCTTGAGCCACATCCCCAGCCCAAGTGCATCAGTTTTAAAAATAATGATCCCGAGTGCAATTACAATCTACAATTTTACAATCAAAAAAAGCAGCAAGCAACTTGTCAGTATGTGAGCCACTCTGGCAGCCATCCAAGTCTTCAGATGACTGTAGTTCCAACCAGCATCTTGACTGAAACTTAAGAGTGACCCTGAGCCAGGACACTCAGCTAATCCACCACCAGATTCTTGGCTGTAGAGTGTGTATGAAATGATACATCTTTGTTGTTTTGATCCACTATGTTATACAGCAATAGATAGTTAGTATATGAATTTGACAAGCTCCAAGAATCTAGAAAGCCCATGTGGCTGAAAGAAATATTTTGAGGAGAGAAAAGCATATTTATTATGTTAGATAAATGAAAAATTTAGGACCAGACATCTGAATCCAGTTTCCCAAGAAATATCAGAAATAAGACTCTCACCATCTCTCTGGTCTCTGCTTTTGTCTGTCTTGGTTTCATGCTTAGATGGGCTCTCTCCACAGAGCTGGGAAGATTCTAACAGTATCTCTGGGTTTACATTGTCTATCAAGATGGAAAATGAAGAGAAGAGAGTTCGAAACTCTCTCTCCCCTTTCCCAGTGAAAAGAACTCTGATTGACCTTGCTTGGGTCACAGGTCAATTTGGGCCACTTATTGAGATGACAGCCATCCCACAATGTGGAAACCATGTGATTGACAGTCATGCCAAAGGCCTGAGGAATAGGAGAGTGTCAGATTCCAAAAGGAAAGAATGCGAGTCAGGCAAAATAAATTAGCCAGTGACCACCGTGGTCTAGTAGAAATGGGATTGTGGCCTGTCTAGTATTCATATAATTGAATGCTTTATGGGGATTTAATCATCTTTGACCTATGAATACCCATGACCTCCAAAGCTAGGCTGGTATGGGTGGTTAGATGCCAAAGTTAGAGGAGATGCCTTAGAATCCAAGTTAGCATCACCAGTATGACTAACTCTAGTTAGTGTAGTTGCATGCCTCTTTGGGGGTGTCTTGGACTTTGCTTGTAATTCTCAGTCATATCTACCCAAAGTTCACATCACATCTTCCTTTTATTCCAGGGGTTCCTCGTGGCCTTGCAGTACGGCTTTGTCAATGGAGAGGTATGTTTTCCATGTTGCCATCCCAATATCTGGTGAGGCTGGGACTGAAATCCTACTGTCCTCAGAGGTTTCTCTGTATGTGATGGGGTAACGGCGACTAGCATGTACTGTGAGCATCCAGGAGAGAGAACAGAAGACACTTTAGACAAATGGGAAAAGGTGTCATGATGGGTGTGTGAAAGCTCAGAACCCAGTCTTGGCCCTACTGGAATTGTGCTAGGGTGAAAGTATGATGAAAAAAATAAGCATGAATCCAAAAATCTGGATCCAAGCCTTGGTTTACCCACTTAGGAGCTCTGTGAATTAGACAGGTCACTGCATCTTAGCCTCAGTTTCCTCATCTGTAAAATGGAAACAACAACTGTCCTTACCTTATAGTGATGTCCCAGGCATGCTGAGCAGATAGTAAAGGCTCAATACCTGGGAACTATACTTTTTATTCATATGATTGCATGACCCCAACCAGTTTTTCTGTTTCCCTGGTGCTGGGCAGCTTACTGTTACTATAACTAATACCTGAGACAATCAACTTAACAATAAGGAAAGGTTTACTTTGGCTCATGGTTGCAGAGGTTTCAGTCCATAGTTGCCAAGTCCCTTTGCCTTTGGGCCTGAGACAAGGCAGCACATCATACTAGGAGTACATGGTGGAATGAGCTGCTGATTTCATGGTGCTCAGGAAGCAGAGAGAGAGCAAGGGAAAGGAAGTTTGGGGTCCTCTCCAGGGGTCTTCCACCAGTGAACCAACTTCCTCCCACCAGGCCCTATCTTTTGACGTTGTCACCATGTTCACAACAGCACCGCAAGCTGGAGATCAAACCTTCTACACATGAGCCTTTGGGGAACATTCAAGATCAAACTGTAGCACCTGGAGAAAGGCTTGAAGGGTGAAGGGGCAGAACAGGGGTTTTCATTTGGTTTTGGAGTTGGTAAAATTTCAAGCCTCCTTGTATTTCCCCCCTCCCTCCGCTGCAGGTTTAAATGTGAGTGTTCGTCTCCTCCATCTAGAGTGTAAGCTCTCCAGAGCAGAGGCCCTCCTCTGTGTCGCTCAGGGCTGCTGCTTCCATAGCTTCATGCAAGGGCTCCTTGTTCCTCAGGCAGGTTCAGCTCAAACGCCACCACACAGAGTCCCTTCTGAACACCACATCTCAAGCTCTTAATCTCCTGTCAAATGACAAAAAATTGCAACAATTTAGTTTAAAGACCTCACTTGGCTTAATTTGCAATTCTAAAAGGGGGCCAATATTTCATTCAATAAAATAGAATAAGTGTGTCAGTGGTCTGAGCAGAGGGCATTAGTTTTATGGGGGAAGGCAGATGAAAGCCCTTCACAAGTTACTTTCCTTCTAAGGAGTAGACAGGCCGGTATAAAAACAACTGGTTAACATCAGATTTCCTCAGGTTGACTTTTTGTGCAAGGGTTAAGGCAGAGAGAACTTTGTCAAACAGACCCATTGAACCTGGTCTGTTTGGAAAGCTGGACTGTAATCTCTCTCCCCTGAAGGGCCCATAAGTCTTGGTTTGGTGAGGTGGAACTTCAGCATGGGTGACTCCATCTTGATTTTTAGTCTAGTCTGTTGGGGTCCAGGGCAAAACCATGGTCTCCTGTCGTCTTCATTTAACACTCCTTACCACGTTGTCCTATTATAGTCTCATAGAATTTGTCATCTGCTATGTTTATAAGTCTTGTTTCTTCATCAGGTAGAAGGTAAATTTCCCAAGGGTAGCATGGAGTAGCTATTCAATAATTTTTTTTTTTTTTTCTGAACGGACACATGAGTAAATGATCCCAAGACTACAACCTTACCTTTGTCTCACCTGACAGGTGAAGGCTGAACTGCGGAAGTTCTGGGCCCGCTTCTTGCTCGACAACCACTCAGGCTGTGGAGCCTGGGTCCTGGGGAAGAACTTCCGGTTCCTGGGGAAATGTCCCAAGAATCTCTCAGATGGAGATGGTGCCGAGACGCTTCGGAAGCTGAAGACCTCTCCTGACGGCTCACACCTGGCCACACGGGGCCGGGGGGAGCTGGGTGCCCATCCTCACCGGGGCCACACAGCCTGGCCCCGTGGCAGCAGCCTGTCGGAGAGCAGTGAGGGGGACTTCACCCTGGCCAACACCATGGAGGAGATTCTGGAAGAGAGTGAGATCTAGCACCGTGGACCCCAGATCTGCAATCTGGGGACTCCCAAGAGAGCTGAGGATGAGGCAGGATGGAGCAGATCATTCTTTCCCTGTACACTATGCCCACTCAGACATGAAGTCAGTCTTCAGGTTCTTCAAACTTTGCATACATGAAGCTGTGTAATGCTCAGAGAGCTTCTGCCTGTCCTTGTCACCCTAGTTATCCCCACTGGTGTATTTCCCAGAATGACCACCAGTCCCTGGGGCTTGGCCCAGAATTCAAGTGAACAGAAGAACCCCAGGATGAAGAGAAGAGAATTCTCTTGTTTAAAAAAAGAGTCTAGTCAATATCTCTTCCTTTTCTCCTCCCAGCACTTGATTTTCATCTGAGATTGGTTTTAGGGCACATAGGAACCCCGCCCCCCACGCCAGGAAGCTTTTAAAATGCTGAATCCTAGGCTCATCACTGAGATTCTAAAAGCGTGAGGATAGTCAGGAATGGAACTAGCAAGCATCCCAGCTAATTCAGATGCAAGTTCACTCTGGGAAAATACTGGGCAGGGGGAGAGAGCGCCAGAAGACCCCAGGCATGGCCCCCAGCAGGGTGAAGTGAGGCGTTCTGCATCCACAGTTCAGCTGGGATGCACCTGCCCTCCTTGGTATGAGCCCACGTTGGCCCCCAGCCTTCACTTCCTCCTTGATTCTTTCCTCTTTCTCATCTGTAGAGTCTTGTCTCCCTCTTTCCCTCTCACTTCTCCCTCTGTGGTCAGCACAAGTTCCCCTGGAGCTGTTACAATCCCAGCTCTCCTCAGACAGTTGATCCCAGTTCCCAGGGACCTTCTGAATATCTCCCCTGGTTTTCTTCTGTCCTTTCTGGCTCCACCTGGTTTTCTGACGTGCTCTACATTGGGGCTGGAAATGCCTTTCCACATTTGCTTTGCCAATGGATGCCTTAGTGGCCAGGCCTCCTGCCCTGGGGGGCTTATTGCTATTCTTCCTGACCCCAGTCCCTACTGATAAGGATTCTCCTCCCCAGATGGATGCCGAAAGTCAGAGGGGACCCAGGTAAAGCAAAAGGACTAGTTGAATCTTGGATATGTGGTGAGTGACACAGAGAGCTGAGAGGCCCAGGGCTCTGCATTGGCTGTCACTGTGGAACCTGTCCTGCTGATGGGAACCTAATCTATGGGGGGCCAGGAGAGACAGGAAGTTGAGGTCAGGCTCAGTGTCTGAAATGAAAATGCCAGATGGTGAATGAAGACCAAGGGAGGAAAAGTCTCTGGACACATTGGGCTGATGTCCAGGAGTGTCACTCACATAGTGTGTACAAAGTACGTGTGTGGGGGTGGGGCATGTTGATGTGGAACCAAACACCATTGTGGGGGGTGCCTGGTGAGACTTTCTCAAGTGGGGCTGCCGGTTTAACAAATAAAAATACATGATACACTATTACATTTGAATTTCAGACAATCAAATAATCTTCACATGGAAGTACAGCCCCTGGGACCTCCTTCATCTGAAATTCGAATCTGACTGTCCATCCTGTCTTTTAGCTGGCAACTCTGTTTTCAAGGGTCCTTTGCAGCAGGGCCGGGGTGAGGGCAATTGTAACTACTCACATCTAAAAAACTCAGTAGTCGAAAAAAATCATACTTGAATGCAGTCTGATTTAATCTAAAAATTAAATGAAGTATTTCATTTGAAAATTAAATCCACAAACTAAAGCCCATGGGACATTTTTTAAAATAAAGTTTTATTGGCACAAGGGCCGAAATGGCAAGGGAATCCAACTCCTGCGAATGTAAGCTCTGACCTTGACTTTATCTGAAATGTTAATATTTTGTTGATCTGGGACTTTCTAACACTAATTTTGATTTTTAAACGATTGCATTGAAGTATGACTTATCTTGACTATGGAGACTTTGGCTGCCCCCTTAAATTTTATACTGCTCTCATTCCTAGCTTCCAGGATGGGAACAGAAATGGAGGTATTAGGCAAGTGCATAATGAAGCAAAGGTTTATTTTCCAGTGTCTAGATTATCCATAGTTCAATTATTAAAACACATAGTTTTCCCTTCTTTGTAAATGTCCCTGCCTGGGCTCCTTAGCCAATCAGCTTTTGATAAACTCTGGGCCATCTAATTCCCATCAAGTCCCCGGCCTGGAGTGCGTTCAGAGCAGGTGCTCTTCACACACCGGTCAAGAGAGACAGGATGGAACTTCCTCAGGGAGCATTGAATGCTTCCAGGAGTAAATTATTTAAGATCCTGCCACCAATAGGAGAAGCATTTTTCTTCCAAAGCCTTTGTAAAAATGTCCTCCGCTCCTCCCTGCACAATGCCGTGGTCTACCCGCACTGCTTGCTCTTGCTCTGCGAATGATTAAAGCAAGTTTATTTAAATGATTTGCATTTTTGTCCACTCTTCTGCATTCGTTTCCCACTGGAGCTGAAAGTCTCTCCCAATGCCCAGAGAATTTGGTGCCCTGTTTCTGAACAGAAGTGGCGGGGGAAAGGCTGTGGCATTTAGTGGGCGACCAGAGGGCACATTATTTGAAACACTCAAAGGGGTTGGCAGAGGGGGAGGGGTCAGAAATGGAGGTTAGAGGTCAAAAGGGAAAAATCCCCTTTCTAGATCACCCCAAAGTCATTCAGTATGCTTGTTGACTGGAAGGTCCAGCCTAGTGCTCCCAGTCCTGGCAGGACAATCCCCTTCGGGAAACTTTTAAGAGACCAATGGCTAGGTCTGGCTCTGGAGACTTGGATTGAATTGGTTCAAGTTGACCTTGGCGAGATATATATATATATATATACACACACACACACACACACACACACACACATGCATAAGCGCGCGCGTATGTGTGTGTGTGTGTGTGTGTGTATGCACACGTGGAAGTACAGCCTCTGGGACCTCCTTCATCTGCAATTCAAATCTAGAATTATTATATATATATTATAATTTAGAAATTATTATATATATTAGATATATAATAATTTCTAAGTGATTTTTTATTATGGTAAAATATAGATAATATAAAATATAAAATTTGTCATTTTAACCATTTTAAGCATGAGGCTCAGGGTATTCAGTACATTCACATTGTTGGGCAACCATCCCCAGTATCCATCTCCAGAATCTTTTCACCTTTACAATCTGAAACTCTGTCCCCATGAAAAAAACATCTTCCCATTCCCCCTCCCTCTGGAGAACTTTCTTCTTCCTGTGTCTGGATTTGCCTAGTCTAGATAAATCATATAATTGGAACCATGAAACAATCTGTAATTGGCTTCCAAGATTCATTCACACTGTAGCGTGTGTCAGTCCTCGGTTTCTTTTCATTGCTGAATGCTGTTTCAGTGTATGGCTATACCACATGCTGGGTATCCATTCCCCTGTCGATGCACACTTGGGTTGATTCCACCTTCCAGCTATTGTGAATAATGCTGCTATTGATAGAGATGTATATCTGAGTTCCTGCTTTCAAATTTGGGGGTATACCTAGCAGTAGAATTTCTAGATCTGATGCTGATGCTGCTGATTAACAGAGTGGAAAGCCGCCAAATGATTTTCCACATCACTTGCACCATTTAACATTCCCACCAGCAATCCACATCCCCACTGACATTTATTTTCCATTTTTGAAAAACTGTAGCCCCTGTAACGGCTGTGAAATGTTATCCCATTACGGTTTTGACTTGCCTTTATTCGATGATTAATGATGTTGAGCATCTTTCATGTGATTGCTTATTGGTCAATTTTGTGTCTTCTTTAGAAAAATATCTACTCCAATCTTTGCACATATAAAAAAATTGGATTGTTTGCTTTTGTTGTGGAGTTGTAGAAGTTCTTTAAATATTCTGCATATTATCCCTTATGAGATATATTATTTGGAAATATTTTTCTCATCCTGTGGGATGTCTTTGTGCTTTGTTGAGAGTGTCCTTTTTTATGTGCCAAAGTTTTAAATTTTGGTGAGGTTTATCAATGATTTTTTTCTTTCATTGCCTGTGCTTTGTGTGTCAAAGCCACTTGAGTGATTTTTATACATGACCAAGATTTAACACTGGCTGAGGCGGAAAGGAAGAGACTTCCCCAGAATCTGACAATCCCTTGCTGAAGTCCAAACTAACTCATATCAAGTCTCCCACCTGTTTTGCATCTAGAACTCAGAAATTCTTCTGGAAGCACACATTCAGCTGATTTTAACAACTCTAAGAGATAGCCACCGTTGATGTGGTTGGCCCAATTTTGTGTTTTGTTTTGTTTTGTTTTGTTTAAGGGCCATCCTCCCAGTTACAACCTAAGGGCCTGAGATGCAGGCTTATCTGGATAGATTTGCATAACCACCAAGGGACAGAAACAGGGATGGAAGTGGGCAGCAGCTTGGTGTCTGTCACCTCCTGGCTCCAAAAACAGTGTTGGAGTCTGGTGAGAGAAAAGAAGTTGCAGACAAATCTAGAAGTGCTTCTAGGAGTTGGTGATCAAAGCCACTACACAACACATGTCATTCTCTACAGGGCCCTTCCAACAGACTGTAACCCAGAAGACTCCCTGGCAGATGAACACCTATTGAGCATACCAGGTGGTGGGAAATCTGGTGCCTGGGGTAGCAATGGCACCTGGCACCGAGGGACTTGTTGGTGAACCTGTGGTAAAGATCTTCTGGGGATGTTAAGAAATATCCAAGGGGTTTTGTGAATGATGGTGCAAGCCTGAAATCCCAGAGGCTCAGGAGGATGAGGCAGGAGGATTGCAAGTTCAAAACCAGCCTCAGCAACTTAGGGAGGCCCTAGGCAACTTAGCAAGACCCGGTCTCGAAGTAAAAAATAAAAAGGGCTGGAGATGTGGCTCTGTGGTGAGTACCCCTGGGTTCAATCCCAGGTACCAGAAACAAACAAGCAAATAAAAAGGGAGCACTGCCCAAGGGGCTGGGATCCTGTGAGCAGGTGGAGTCCGGAGTCTGGGCCTGGGCAGTTATTATTGTTCTCAGTAAGATAATAATCCATTTCCGCCCTTCAATTCACATGCACATGAGGAAGCAGGATCTCCCCAACATCTGTAGAGTGCACATCTATTTTTACAACCTTCTATAATTTTATTTAGAGCATCCAAATTTTCCTCTTGGAAACCACACATCTCTCACTCTCAGCCAATGGATTTGGAGTTCTCTGACTTCATCTTTAGCTCCAGGGGTACACACAAAAGTATGCTTGGCCAAGCAGAAAATGCCACCCTCTAGGCACCACGTATTGGATCTGAGACAAGCAGGGAAACAGTCAGAGGCAGTGTGATGCAATCCTGGGACTTTGGTTGGGGCTCTCAACAAAAAAAGATGTCTCTTGTCTGCTGAAATTGGAACCAAGAGGGAGTAGGCTAGGATCTGCTGGTGAACATTTTGCCAGCATGGAGACAATCGCCCTGAGAGTGGTGGTGACATCAAAACATAAGCCAAGAGATGGAAAAATGAAACCTGAGACATTGTAGGAGCTCCTGGATCAAACCAGATCTGAAATTAGAACTACTACTAGAATTTCCACTCCAAGAGCTAATACAGTTCTATTTGTGCCACGATAATTTGTACTGTCTCTTCTGTCTTTTGCATTTGGAAGAGTCTTAATGACTTACTTCATCACTAATTCCTCTTCCTTCTCTTCCTTTCAGCCAAGTTGAACTTTACACTGATCCCTGTTCTCCATACTAATTTCCATAGAATATCCTCATAGAGCTTCAGTCCAAATAGTCCTTTTACTCTAACCTAACCAAAGATGTGCTAAATTAAGTGATCACTCTTTGCATCTCCCCTGGCCAGTAGGGGGGCTCAAGTGGCACCTTATTTCTCTTGCTGAACTACAGGACAGCAAGGACCTTATTATGAAGTGCCTGTCCTTTTAGACTCAAATGACAATGATACCTTGACCTCAGAGAGAAGTGACAAGTACCCGGCCTCATATGCCACCAACCAGATTCATTCATGGAGGGGATGGGAAGAGCGCAAGAGGAAGGCACCAGGGTCTCTGGTTGTACGCCTAGATCACCTGGGCTGGATCCAGGTCTCCCCATCCCCGGGCAGGCCCAGTCTGTCTACCTGGGAGGAGTTTCTGGCATAGGTGATTCTCATGACAACCCTCCCCCTCTGGGCACCTCTGGACCAGGTGCTGTGTGGCGCTTCTTCCCCTGCCTTCTCTGATGTTGTGCAATCCCAGAGGCACCATGGTGTCATCAAAGGGACTCATGTTCTGGCTTTCTGTCTCAGTGTCCTCATCTACACCATAAAGAGGATGATACTTGCATCACAGGAAATCATGCCTTCAGAGATCCTCACATGAGGCCTCTCTCGCAGGAAAGGCTCCGTCCTCTCTACCAGGAGGATCTCTCTCTGAGGGCGGTGACGGGGCCATTGCTGTGGCTAAATCTTGAGAGGTGGGGGGATCACCTCCAGCACCAGCAGACACCACCCAGCCTCAGGATGTTCCAGATCGGTTGATCAAGAGTGCATGGAGGGCTGGGGATGTGGCTCAAGCGGTAGCGCGCTCGCCTGGCATGCGTGCGGCCCGGGTTCGATCCTCAGCACCACATACAAGCAAAGATGTTATGTCCGCCAAATACTAAAAAATAAATATTTAAAAAAAAAAGAGTGCATGGAGCCCATTATTTCAGCAGCCTCATCTTAGAACTTAAGGCTGAAGAAGAAATGGGCCTTCAAAACAATGAATCCCGTGATCATGGAGAATCCACTCACAGAGTTCCTCTGTGTCCCAGGATCTGGAGCTGGACGGAGAAATGTGGGCTGGTGGGTAGCCCTGGCCTGGCGTCTACTTACCAGCTGGCTGAACTTGGGCAAGCTGCTTCCTCTCACTGGGCCTCCTTTCCTGGCCTCTGAAATGAGAGGCCTCAAGGATGTCCAGGGCTCAGCCTTCCCCACTCCCCAAACAGAGTTGCATTTCTCATTATCCTGTGAAATACGCAACTCTCCCCGTGACCCATCTCAGCAGGTGGCATCACTATTTATGCAGTCTCAAGTCACAACCTGGTCGCCATCCCTGCTCTCTCCTCCTCCTGCACCGCAGCCCGTCGGGAGGATGCTCTCTCCTATATGTGTTCCTAAGAATCCTGTCCTCTGCATCTGAATGCCACCCCTGGGTCCCAGCCACTGGTTGATTCCAAAAGTATCATCGCCATCTTTGCTGTCCCCAGTCTTGCCCTTCTTGCCTTAACGTCTACCCTGCTAAGGGCTGCTCTTGCCAATGTCAGTCCCTCTGGCTTTAAACTCCACAATGCTACCACTCCATCCGCTGAGATGCGCGGTGCCTGCCAAAGGCTGGAGGGGACCTTCCCAAGTCTGGCCCTTCTACCTTTCCAGCTCCACTCCCAATTCTCCCTTCCTCCCTCTCCTCCCCCTTCCAGCTGCCCCCCACCCCAGCCTGATCATAGTCCTGGGACTAAAGATGTCCATTCCCACCCCGAGAGGAACAAGCTTCCCCCACCTCCAGCCCATCCCCACCCCAGTTCACGGGGCCTGTCATCCCCGGTCCTCCCCTAGTGCTCTCTCTGAGTGTCTCCATGGTAACCTTGGCCTCTGGTCCTGGCATCTTCGAGATCCATCATCCCCTTTGGACGGCACATTCTGGGAGAGCAGAACAGCGACGGTCAAGCTGACAGAGATCATTTCCTTTTCCTACTCAAGAAAGACCAGACAGCTGGGTGCTCAGCTCCTCTTGCGTTTATTGAACCTGCTTATTCAGCAAGCCACAAAGGAGCTTACGTGAGGCTGCGGCTTAGGACTCCTGTGGCCTAATCCTGGGATTATCATAGGGCCACAGACTGGTGGGGAGGTGATGGGGAGTGGAGTGCCTTGGGAGGGATATTAGAAACAGGAGGAAGAATTAACTGGTGGGTTGCTAAAGATGCTTTGGTTTATAGGGTGCTGTGCTGGGGTTCAGAGGCCTCTCTCTTGGCCCTGGGCATGCATGTGCATGAGTGTGTGTGTGTGTGTGTGTGTGCGTGCACCTGCAGGTGTTGAAGTGGGTGAGGAGAGAAGAGCGTAGCAGTTGGCATCAGGGTTTCTTCTCCTTTATCTTTTCCTTCACTTTTTGAGGCTCGTACTGGATCAGTCGCAGAATATCCTTGTTGGCCATGGTTCCCTCAATGAATTCTTGCTCTGTAAGTTTATCTGTTCATGGGGGGAAAGTATCAGTCAGGACTGGCTGTCTCAAGCTGCAAAGAGGCTGACATCCAGTCAGCATGCCTAGTCGGTGTGTATTTGTTGTGAACATATTGAATACTCAATGTTTCCAAGGGTCCCCCCCAACCCCACCCCAGATACCCAACTCCTCCCCAAGATCCTCAGACTTCACTATGAACCAGAGACAAGATCAGTGTCTGGCACTGCACAGGACCCCAAGATACCATTCTTGTGCTATGTGTCTCTTCTGAGAGGCTGTACCCCTGCCTTGCTGGCTCTTACATATTTAGATAATTATTAATAATAACTATTAATGTTAATTGGTGTATGTTCAATATTGCCCCAAGTCTCATGCCTCAAATTCTGGAAGAACATCTACAGAGCTGAGCAAAGCCAAATGACATGGAGGGCAGGCCTAGAGTCTTGGTGGAGGAACCACTTCCCCCCAGGGAGCAGGGAGTGAGAGTCGAAGGGACCATGACATGCCAGGGAAAGGCTGGCTTGTGGAGGGTCTGATTGGTTCTCATGGTGCACAGGCTGTCCCATGAGTCCTGGCTGGGATTCCTTCCCATGCATCCAGCCCCATGACCCCCAGCCTGATTTACCTCCTCGTTTGGGATCAGAACTGCAGGTGAACCTTGCTCCCCCAGCCTGGCCCAGCTTCCCAGTGCTTTTACTAGATACCTACTGAATTTAGCTGGACTCAGCTACATGCATGGTACTGAGCCCCTTCTCTTTATTATGTACCAGATGCCCCTGTGCTTGGAGTTGGGGTCATTGCAAGAGGCAGAAGGTGGGATGTGGCACAGAAGATAGCTAAAGTCCCTCCCGAGGAAGCTCCTAGTCTGGTGGGAAAGACAGTCTCATGCAGAAACAACTGTACAATGAGACAGATGTTCCTTTCCACTCCTGGTTGTATGCTCATAGTGCCTAGCACATAGTAGGTGCTCAACGAAGCGTTCGTAGACTGAATTCTGTTTCCGCATTGGCTTAAGTCCTGGGCCTTGGGGGGCAGCCTTAATCCCTTTTGGGTTAGGATCCAGGATGGTAGCCTGCTTGAGTCTGGGTGGTGATGTTTGGGTTTATAATCCCAACTGCCCCACCAGCTGCACACGGCAGCCCAAGCTCTCACCATCAGAGTCTGGCACTGTGGTGACGAGTCGTCTCCAGATGGGCCATGGGAAAACGCACCCACCTGGCCCGGCAGGAGGAATGCCACCCGCTTCTGCCGTGCTCAGTTGGGTCAGTTTTAAACACAGGGGGTTTAAAGGTGCTGGGAGACGAGGTACCATTAGGGCTGGACTGGGGTGAGGTAAGTGATGTGTCTGGGAACGGAATCTAAGGAAGTGCTCACATTCGGGTCCTGTGAGCACAGAGTGGGCGCCTGAGATGGGTGCCTGGGCACTAGCTGACCCCACCCTGGCTGCCACCCCAGTGACTCTTGGACTTCATCACTGCCTGCAGCTGAGTAAGTACAGCTGGACCATCTCTAGCTGCCCTTGGTTAGATCCCGCTCAGGCTTTTCTTCTTGAACCCTGGTTAGAGAATGTCCCAGAGGTCACCGAAGGGGCCAAACGCTGGCCCCTTAGATGTGTGTGAGACGTGCCGTGTTTTATTAATTGAGACACTTCAAATTTTAAGCATCTCGATTGTTGGCTTCTCTGTGAAAATAAAATCAAATCAGATGTCATGACACCCATAGGCTCCCTATTCCCATGAGGAAGGTTCTGGAAGCCATCAGACCTATCCGCCAGCTCCCCTCACTTAGTGAGGCTGCAGGTCGCGGTGCCCATTTTCATCATTCTGACCCCTGTGGTTTGCAGCCCTCACTGGACACCAGCTCTTCCAGTCAAGGCCATGAGCATCCTGAACAAAAAGCTCTGGTCACCAAGTTCTAGAATCCATCACCGCCTTCAACACACTTTCCACGGGCCGCTTCCCGTCAAACACTGAACAGGGCAGGGGCACCAGACAGCCCATTGGGGATGTCCCATTGACTGTGACAACATCTTCCTGCTGTTGAGGACTAGACTCACCCTCCCTTCCTTCTTCTCCTCTCGCCCTGACAGGGGTCAGATCCGCACGACAGTCTGGCAGCTTGCCCAGCCTCCTCCGGACACTGTTGCTCTGTGGCCTTCGTCCCAATACATCCCAGACAGACTAACTGCAATCTAACCCTATGTTAGTGGTGCTTTTTGAACCATCCAAAGTAACCTACCAGAGTAAACTCAGATCAATGTAGATTCCACTGACTTGGGCACTTGAGGCTAATTTAAGGCGAGGCTGTGCTGTGGTTTGCCCTTGTTCTAACTCTGCAGAAAGCCTTTTTAAAAACAAGTAAACTGAGGTGTCTAAAAATAGACTCCATTTAATGAGAAACTGGACATTTGTATACCAACGGCTAATGAGCTTTACTGCCTTCACGCGTTGCTCTTCCTTAAATGTAGGTTAACTTTGTTATTAAACAAACAAACAAACAAACAAAAAAACCCATTATTCTTCAACAGTGCTCTGTGTTTTAGGACTTTCCTTCTCCCCCAGGGAACCCCAAGTGGCAAATCAGCTCTGGGATGGCAGCAGAACTGCTCCCTGCTGAGCCCTCTAGCCATTCCCCCACCCACCCAGACGCCTGCAGACAGCTCTGGGTGCATGTATGGTAACATGAGCATCCCCCTGGGTGCTGTGACTCAGAAGAGAGGGTCTCCTTGGGGTCTCCCCGAAAAAGCCTGAGACTGTAAAATCAAATGCAATGAAGAAAAAAGGGATTCACCATCATCTTTCTTTCCAAAGTACGCCCAGATCTTCTCAGCCCGCTTTTCTGGTGTGTTCTCATCATCTGGAAGGAGCTTTACATCCTCAGGACTGATCATTTTGAAAATTGCCTGTACCAGACGGAGAGAAAGAACTTGTTAGGAAAGCCATCAGGGGCTGGCAACCCTAGGAACACCCATGCCTTACCCCATGAGCACAGATCTACTCAAAATGGACTAAACCATTAACTATAAATCCTAAAAGGGAACATAGGAGAAAAGCTCCCTGATGTTGGTCTTGAAAATGATGTTTGAACAAGTGGGATCACATCAAGCTTAAAAAACTTGTGCACGGCAGAGGGACAATGAACAAAATGGAAAGGTAACCTATGGAACAGGAAAAATTATCTGCAAACCATATATCTGATAAGAGATTAATATCCCAGATATACAAGGAGCCCCAACAACTCAAGAGCAAGAGAACAAGTTAACTCCATTTAAAGAATGACAAAGAACCCACATAGACATTTCTCCAAAAAAGACATATTGAATGACCAAAAGGTTTACAAAAAGATGTTGAACATCATTAATCCTTATGGAACTTCATATCAAAACCACAGTGAGCTGTCATTTCCTATCTGTTAGGATGGACACCATAAAAAAGATAAGAAATAACAAGTGTTAGCAAGGGTGGAGAAAAGGGAACCCCTGCACATTGTCGGTGGGAATGTAGATTGGTATGGCCATCATGGAGAACACATTAGGGACCTTGAGCCACCTCCACCACAGTTTCCCTTTCTCAGTGCCAAGCAGCCTGGGGCACCGGCTGTAAGGCAGTGGTTGCAACACAGATGCCCAGGTCCCCACCTGATCTACTGAAGCAAAGTTCCTGGGGAAGGGTGGGGGTTGTCTGCATTGTTTGAGATTCTCCTAAGGGACAGGAAATATGGGGAAGGGGTGAAAAAGACTTTTACTTCTTCTTTTGTATCTTTCTGTTTGAATTTTCTAGTCATATAGCCACAATAGTTTCATTTTTTTAAAAAAATGCAAATGAGAAATAAAAACTTTGCAGCGATAATCCCATAGGACCACTGAAGTTGGAGTTTGGGAGCCACTACCACAGACCCCACAGCCAACAGGTTTTAGATGGCTTCCTCCGAGTCCAGCAGGATTGGCTTATGGTAATAATGGCTAACAATGGTTGAACACTTATGTGCTACTGTCCTGAGCATTTTCACACCAAACCCTCACAGCAGACTTACAAATTAGGTATTATTGTCCTCATTTTACAGATGAAGAAACTGAGACAACTTGTCCAAAGTCTCCCCAGAGTGCAGAGATTCTAACCCAGGCGATTTAGTTCTAGAAATTGCAAACTTTGTGTGACTTCAGAGTCTTCTCGTTTCCCTGTTGCTGGAGAGCACAGGCAGGTGAGGCTGAGGAAGGGGAAGGGATGACCTTTACAAAGGTCTTCCCAAGGTACAGGAAGCCCCTCACTTATTCTTGCCCTCAGAGAGGGATTCAGAAAAAGGCTCAGCTCTGGGCTAAAGGATCTGCCTCACCTTGTTAATCCTCTTCTCTAATCAAGGTACCAGGTGCACAGCAAAGAGCAAAGCAGCAAGGGCCTTGAGACTATGGGATGAGGTAAAGGGACAAGTGACCTTGTGCTTTCAGCTCCAGGTTTCTAGGATTCTACTAGCTCAGTGACACCCAGAGTGGACACCAAGGTCCTTGGGCAGTTGGGCAGGCTCAGGGTCTGGGCAGGTGTGTTGGCATAGAGGTTGGGAGGCTAGCGTCTCTCCCCAGAGCCTTCCTGAGGTCACCTAGAGCAGGTCAGGTGGGGGCAGCATTGCCCATGAAATCAGCCTGGAATATGGAACAGCTTTGAGAAGTATTTTTTCAACTTCCCGTGGCTAAAAAAAAGAGTAACAAGGAAATGAACCCCAGTAGCTAAGGGTGGCCTTCAGAGTCCCCAAAGTGGACAGAAATACAGGTAGCTCCCAGGATAAGCCAGTCTGTCCTGAGCCACAGACCCCATGTACAAGTGGGAAGGAGTGACCCGCTGGCCACTCTGCCCCCCACACATGGGCAGGGGGAGACAGATAGCCCCTAAGGAACCCTGGAAAAGGCCACAGAAAGCATTAGATCCTCACCCTGGGACCAAGGAGTTTACATGGTTTTCTGGTGGCCACTTAGCTGGCTGTTGTCAGAGTTGGGACTAGAACTTATTACTTGGTCCTCATCCCACACCACCCAGAGACCACTCGGCCAACCCAGAGGAGCTTGCTCATCTGACAGTGCAGTTGCCACACGTCTGCCCTTAGCAGGAGACCCAAGCTGAGCTCAGAGGGTGACCATAAATAAAAGCTGCATGCTTTGCTATTTTATTTATGGTTTCTCCTAATAAGGGTGAAAAAATTCTGCAAATAAAAGCCTGATTACAAATGCTCGAAAAAAATGATATCAAGTATGAAAAATATTCTCCCTTTTCACAGGAACGGAATTAGAAAAACAAAGCACCATATTTCACCACATAATCATGACCACCACATTAACACACACACACACACACCCACACACATAAATATTCTGTGCATCTTCATCTTGCACCAAAGAGAGTTTAGTAATAAACGATTCTAAAGTAATACTGGCACATTTTTTTTTTCAGAATTTCAACATTTATTTTTTAGTTTTCGGCGGACACAACATCCTTGTTTGTATGTGGTGCTGAGGATAGAACCCTGGGCCGCACGCATGCCAGGCGAGCGCGCTACCGCTTGAGCCACATCCCTAGCCCACTGGCACATTTTTTAAAAAAGGAATTCATATAATAGTCACACCCCATTTTTTTTTTTTTTGCAAAAAATTTAGACATAAAACCTGTGACAATTATGCAGTGAAATACAGTAAGTGAATGGGGCAGGGGACTAAAAAAGGATAAGTAAAAATATAGAAAAGGAAGGGAACTCTAACTGATATCATAGGAAAAAAATGAAACACTTTAATGTTCAAAAATATAGGAAACATTTAAATAACCTTAAGACATTACCAGAAAGTGGAATTGTCAACAGCAATTAAAAAAACGTTTTTGAGGGCTGGGGATGTGGCTCAAGCGGTAGCACACTAGCCTGGCATGCGTGCGGCCCGGTTCGATCCTCAGCACCACATACAAACAAAGATGTTATGTCTGCCGAAAACTAAAAAATAAATATTAAAATTCTCTCTCTTAAAAAATGTTTTTGAGGGCTGGGGGTTGGGACTTAGTGGTGGAGCACTTCACTTGTGTGAGGCACTGGATTCGACCCTCAGCACCATAAATAAATAAATGTATTGTGTCCATCCACAACTAAAAATAATTTTTAAAATGTTTTTGAAAGAACTAAAATCAGCATATTATAGTAATGCATTCATATCAATGTTTATAGCAGTGTAACTCTACAACAGCCCAGTTATGGAACCAGCTTCGGTATCTATCAAAAGACACATGGAGAAAGAAAGTGTGGTACACACACACACAATGGAGTTTTACTCAGTCATAAAGAAGAACGAAATCATTTCATTTGCTGGTAAAGGGACAGAACAGGAGAACACTGAACTGAGTGAAATAAGATGGACTCAGAGAGTCAAGGTTGAATATTTTCTCTTCTACGTGGGAATCAGAGAGAAATAAGGAATTATGAAGTATGGTGTGGCGTCTTATGAAAAGGGAGAACAGTGGAGTAGAGGAAGGAGAAGGAAGGGTAGGAGGGATGGGGAAAGGGAGGAAGAGCAGAAGGAAATTAACCAGACTCTGCCGTGTGCATCTATGAACACGACACAACGAATTCCACTTTTTAAGCAGAACTGGAATGCACCAATTAAAAAAAAGTCAAAAGGAAAAGAAGGACGCTAAGATGAATGTTAAAAAAAAAAGAGAGAGATGTTTTTGAAGACTGTGTAGTGATACATAAAATGCTCTTAATAAAAGAGTAACCAAAAACGTGTGGTAAGAACCATATGTGAGTATGTTACAGTTCTCAAATAGACAAAAATGATACAGATAAAAGACTGGGAAGGCATAGAGTGATCTGTTACCCAGCAGTTTTCTCTGGATGTTGGGATTAGAAGCAATGTTAATTTTCTTTTGCATATGTTTCTAAATTTCATGGATTACTTATACATTAGATTAAAAAACATATTTTCAAGACACCTATAATGTCCACAGCACATGATTCGATCTAGGGCGATATGGACAGAGGGGAATTCATGTTGAGAAATCTGCGGAGGGCAGGAGCCTATGAGGAGCCCAGGGTACATACTGCCAGTAAGTCTAGAACATAGGACAGGCCAGAAGCTGAGGCTCAGGGCTGCAGAGTTCCGGTGGGTGGGAGGACGAACACTAGGAGCAGGATCCAGATTTCAAACCCCCCAACTGGGACCTGTTTTTACTTCATATTTGAAACATGGTGTATGTGTTTAAATCTGATCGTTTGTAGAATCTGAATATGCACTGCTGAAATTTTTGAATGAGATTTAGTAAAGAAAGGGGAGGTGGGGGAAGAAAGAAAGGGATGGAGGGAGGAAAGAAGAAAAGGGAAGAGGAGGGGAGGAAAATGGGAAGGAATACTGGAGGGGAGGAGGGGTGTGGGAGAATTCCAACTTGAATGCTTGGAAGCGCTCAGATTTTTCTAGAAAGAAAACTGAAGCTGTGGGAAAGTGTCCAGCCCTCTATTCCCATCAGCCTGGTGGAGACCCTTCCCTCCCTTCTCTGGCAATGGCTGGCCTGGATCCCCCACTCCCCGATCGCACCCCGATTGGCCCCCCAGCTGCAGCAGCAGTAGCTGTGACAGGGACTCAGTCACCATGGGAAGGGGAGAGACCGACCGTGACAATCTCCAGCACTTCGCTCTTGCTGATGGTCCCATTGCCGTCCACATCGTAGAGGGAGAAGGCCCATTCCAGCTTCTGCGTGGGCTTGCCCCCAGTGGTCATGTGCAAGGCGACCACGTACTCCTTGAAGTCCAGGGTTCCGTCGCTGTTGGTGTCGAAGCTGCGGAACACGTGCTGGGCATAGGCCTTGGGGTCGGCGTCCGGGAAGAATTTGCCATAGATGCTCTCGAACTCCTTCCTGGAGATGCGGCCGCTGGGGCACTCCTTCAGGAAGGACTGGTACCAGGCACACAGCTCCTCCTCTGTGAACTTGGTGTTCAGCTGCAGATCCTCCAGGATCTCCTTGGACAGGGCCCCGCTCTTGCTGTTCCCCATGGGTGAGGGAGAGTGGGCGCCGGCTGGGCAGGCGGGTGGGACGTGCCTGTCCTCCTGGTTGTCCGGGCTCTGTTCACTGTGAGATGGAGACTGAGATGCTGGGGGATTAGGAGGATTAGGAGTTCTTCCCAGTCCTTGGAGGAAGGAGGAGGGGACACAAGGCTGGGGGTGGGGGCGGTGGCTTTCCAAACCATCCTGAGATTAAAAGAGCTGAGAGCAGGCCATCCATTCATTTTAGCCTCCTGAAAGGAAAAGATCGGAGGGCAAAGATCCTCCCGACCCTAACTCCAGCCCTCGAAGGGTTGATGGTAGCTGCTTGTTTTTGTCGCACTAACTCCTGCAGAGGCAGGTAGGGCACCCTGCACTGCACCTTATAATGTCGTGTTTAGCAAAGGGGCTGAAGCCAGCCTGCTTTAAATCCCAGCTTTGCTACTTAAATAGCTGTGTGACCTCGGGCATGTTTTTTAACCTCTCTCCGCCTAGGATGCTCTCCTAATCCTACCCTTGAGTCACATCTTGGCTTAAATGTCACCTTCTCAGCAAGGCCTATAGGAACCACTCTATTTCTAGCCCCGTCTCCACTGGCACACCCCACACTGTGCCTCCACCAGAATGAAAGTTCCAGTGGAGGGAAGAGATCTCATATTGCTCCTGATGCATCTCCGTTGACAAAACAGAGTCTAGCAGGTTTGGGCCCTCACGAGATATTTCTTGAATGAATGGGCACAATTGTGTCTGTCTCATTGTCATTATGAGGCTGAAATGAGTCAATAAGTGTGTCACGCTTCAAAGAGATCAAACCCCTATCATGGCAAGTGGTGAACACCTGTGGAAGGTCCCTGACTTAATGATGGTTCCACTTGCAATTTTTTGACATTACGTTTGTGCAGAAGTGTACCCAGACAGACAGCCATTCGGGCTTCCACCTTCAATACAGTATTCAATAAATTGCATGAAATATTCAACACTAGCCAGCTTCCGTGGTGCGTGCCTGCCATCCCAGCTACTCAGAAGGCTGAGGCAGGAGGATGGCAAGTTCGAGGCCAGACTGGACAACTTATGAGACTGTCTCAAAATGGAAAAATGAGAAAAGGGCTGGAGATGTGGTTCAGTGGTAAAGAGACCCTGGGTTCAGTTCCCCTCCAGAGGTCTGGGGGTCGGGGTGGGAGGAGGAGAGAGCTAGGAGGGAGGGAGAGAAGAGGGTTTTGCCCAAGATAGGCTAATGTAAGTGTTCTGAGAAGGTTTAAGGCAGGCCAGGCTAAGTTATGATGTTTAGGAAGTGTGCTAAATGCATTTTTTTAATCTATCATATTTTCAACTTACAATGGGCTTATTGGATGTAACCCCACTGTAAATTGAGAAGCCAGCATCTGCATGAATTTTGTTATTATTTATCAACAACCAGGATCAAAAATGACACTGGCAACAGGGAGGCTCTGCCAGCAGGTGGTGAGTGAGCAAAAACAGGGGACCAGGGAAACAATAGCAGGAATGAGGGCTTTGTCACACACAGAATGTGGCCATTCAACTGTGGTCATATGGGATGGTGACCCAGTTGTGGCATCATGATGTGCGTTTTGCGGGGTTTTGTTCATGATTCCTGGCTCATACTTTCCAAAGCTCTTGTTATTTTCTAAAGGAATAGAACAATGTTGGCATGCTTTGGGCCTCAAAAACAATCTCGAGGGCTGGGGATGTGGCTCAAGCGGTAGTGCGCTCGCCTGGCATGCGTGCTGCCCGGGTTCGATCCTCAGCACCACATACAAACAAAGATGTTGTGTCTGCCGAAAACTAAAAAATAAATATTAAAAAAAATTCTCTCTCTCTTAAAAAAAATCAATCTCTCTCTCTCTCTCTCTCTCTCTCTCTCTCTCTCTCTCTCTCTCTCTCTCTCTCTTTTTCTCCTGACCTCCTTTCACTTGCTCCTTTTTCTCTGTAAGTTTGGCTGTAGAAACTAGATTTTTCTCTTTTACAAGGCAGGTCATAGAAACTAAAAATATCCTTCCATCTTCTCCTGCTTTTCTGTCTTAGCGCTGGCCATAAAGAAATCCTCTGACCTACCTTATTTGATAGTAGATCACAGACCTCGATTTCCACAGGTGCCCTGCCCACACCTGGGAGGAAGGAAGCTGCACAGAGAAGCCTAGAAGAATCTGGAGGGACAGGCCTGGCTGAGTTTCTCCACCTCGTATATAATGACATTTCTATAAAAACCCAAAGGGACAGGGTGTAGAGGGCTTCTGGACACATAGAGGCACTCAGGAAGGTGGATAAGAACTCACCCATGTGCCAGGATATGGTGTACCCCAAATCCACAGAGATGGAAGCTCCTGTGGTGAGCCTATCCAGAACTTTCCCTGAGTATTTCTTCCTCTGCCTGCTTGTACAGATCCTTGAAATATATCCTTTACAATAAACAGGTAGACCAAAGTGTTTCTCTGAGTTCTGTGAGCCACACCAGCTAATTAATCAACCCTAAAGAGGGGGTCTGGGATCCCCAATAAGTTTTAGAGGCCTCAACCTGAAACTGGTGCCTGAAATGGGGCCTTCTGAGGGACTGAGCCCTCACCCTGTGGGACCTGGCATTATCCCCAGATGGACAGTGTCCGAGCTGAATTGGATTAGATGGTGTCCAGCTGGTGTCTGCTGAAGAACTGACCTCTTGCTTGATGGTGAGGAGAAATCCCCACCCATTTCTGGGTCACAGAAATGACCTGGGTTGTGAGTGTGTAAAAAACTAAGTTTGAGTGTTTTTTAACCAGTGTTGCAAGATTTTTTAATTAGAGATAAATCCGATTTTTAAAATGTCATTACCATATTTTTAAGTGTTGGCAATTAATCCAAATTTTTAGAAATCACAGTGTGGGCCAAACACAGTGTTTCGGTGGTTCAGTTTCAGCCTGCAGGTTGCTGGTTTGCAGCCCAGCATGGCGCTGAGAGCTGCTGGGCAAAGTACACATCAGCGAATAATAGAAGAGGTGGCCAGAGGCGCGGAGCTGGCATAGGAAGGACCCATGCCACTGCAGCAGCTCAGTGTGAGCACAGGACACCACAGGACCCTCGTGTGCATGCTTGTCCCCGAGTTCTTGTCACCCAGAGTGTACGTCAGCAGTGTTGTGGGCTTAGCTGAGAACATTGGAGGGGACACATTGAGGTATATGGGAAGGTGGACAGGAACTCATCCACAGGCCAGGAGGATGGTGCCCCCTAAATCCACAGATATGGGATTCTACATGTGATACCCCAGCATTGCCCCCTAGGATGGGAGAGCTGTCTCCTCCTTGCTAGTGGAGAAGTCCCAAAGTCTCCAGGCAGGTAAGTGGGATGTGCACCCTATTACCTAACAGGAGTTGGAGGGGAAAGTGGGTCCTCACTGCTGGGAAAGGCCACCTGCCAGGTCCACTGTTAGCTCTCGGTCACTGTGACAAAATGCCTGACATACTCAGTGTAAGAAGAGGAAAAGTTTATTTGGGATCATAGTTTTCTTTTTTTCTTTTAAATACACAGCAGAATGCATTACAATTCTTATTACACATATAGAGCACAATTTTTCATATTTTTTAATATAAAGTATGTTCACCCCAATTTATGTCTTTATACATGTAATTTGGTTTTTTTGCATTACAATTCTTATTACACATATATACCACAATTTTTCATATCTCTGTATATAAAGTATGTTGACACCCAATTCGTATCTTCATACATGCACTTTGGATAATGATGTCCATCACATTCCACCATCCTTGCTAATCCCCTGCCTCCTCCCTTTCCCTCCCTCCCCTCTTCCCTATGTAGAATTCATCTATTCCTCCCATGCTCCTCCTCCCTACCCCACGATGAGTCAGCCTCCTTATATCAGAGAAAACCTTTGGCATTTGTTTTTTTGGGATTGGCTAACTTCACTTAGCATTATCTTCTCCAACTCCATCCATTTACCTGCAAATGCCATGATTTTATTCTCTTTTAATGCTGAGTAATATTCCATTGTGTATAAATGCCACTTTTTTTAATCCATTCATCTACTGAAGGGCATCTAGGTTGGCTCCACAGTTTAGCTATTGTGAATTGTGCTGCTATAAACATTAATGTGACTGTGTCCCTGTGGTATGCTGTTTTTAAGTCCTTTGGGTATATAGTTTTGGAGGCTTCAGTTCACGATCAGTTGGCACCATTGCTCTGGGTAGCAAGACACACATCACAGTGGAAGGGCATGGTGGAAGAAGCTAGAGAGAGAGAAAGAGAGAGAGAGAGAGAGAGAGAGAGAGAGAGACAGACAGACAGACAGACAGACAGACAGAAAGGGGCCATGGTCCCAACATCCCCTTCAAGGTCACACCCCCAGTGATCTAACTTTCTCCCACTAGGTCTCTCTCAATGTCCTACCACTTCCCAAGGGTGCCAAGGCCTGGGGACTAAGCCTTAACACATGGCCCTTTGAGAGACACTTCTCCAAACCAGAGCCCCCACCTTGACATTGCTCAGGAAGAACCTAGAAGGTCAAGCACGGAAGTGCTGACCCATCCCTCCTGCACACACCTCCTGATGTGGTTCCAGAGTATTTCCCAGGGAATCTTCATGTGAGGAGCGAGTGTGTGCTTGTGTGAACTCAGTTTTTCCTACAAGTTTGGGAGAGAAAGCTATTTCTTAATAAGAGCCGATTCTCTTCTAGACCTTTACTACAGCAGGCATTTGATCTCAAGAGTAGTTAGAAACAGGACAGTCACCAAACCTGAAAACCAATCAGCCCACCTGCCCACCCCAGGCTGCACATTGGAATCATGTTCACATGGAGAGATTCCTTGTGGCCTGATGCATCCCTGGGGAGTGGAAAGGGAGCAAAACCAGGGGCCTGGGGCCCGTGTTCTATGCCAGAGTAGGAGGTGATCAGAAGAGCCTCCGGGGTGCCATCAGACCTGTGTACAAGGCAAGGCCAGTTGTCGCAGGTGAGAAACCTCCAAAAGGCATGTCTTCCATTGTGGGTCACACAGTTGCTAAAT